TATCTGGCGCGCCGGGCGCGCGTGCTAAATTGGGGATACGTGGGCGCCAACTCCCAGCATCTTAAGCTGCAGGTGAGCAGCGGCAGCCGCGTGATGGACGCCTTGTGGTGGAATTACTCTGGTGAATGGGGCGGATACGGGACGGTGGACCTGGTATTTCAGATCGCCGAGGAGAGGTACCGGGGCGAACGCCGGAATTACCTGCGTATCGATGACCTGCGACCGGCAGCCTGATCGCCACGTTCCAGCATCGCATCGGCCAGGCTAACCGCGACAGCGCCAGCGCGGCCGACGTTTGGCAGCGGAAGGACCATATGCCACTACTGATTGAGTCTGTGGTCAGGAGGCGCGGCGGCGGCCGGAGCGCGGTCCAGATCCGCTGGGGGTCGGTCGAACCAGGCGAGCTTTGTAGACCAGCAGGGGCACGGTTACCAACATTATGGCAAGAGCGACCAACTGAGCTTCGTTGAAGCCGAAAAGGTAGGTGTTGCTTTCTACGCGCAGGAACGATATGAAGAAACGCCCGATCGAGTAACCGGCGAAGAATAGGGCGAACAACATCCCGTGGGGCTGTAGTCGATCTTTCATCAGCCAAAGTATGCCGGCCAATGCCAGGCAGAATATTAGCTCGTAGGCCACAGCGGGGTGTGTTGCGGCCGCTCCGCCATGGACACAACGATTGTAGAGGCTGTCCGGGTCCGAGTAGACCACCGCCCAGGGCAGACCGGAGAAAGTGGCGCAATGTTCCCCGTTGATGACATCGCCCAGGCGTCCGATGGCCAGTGCTATCAGCAATGCTGGAGCGGTGATGTCGGCCAGGTGGGGCACGGAAGGCAATTGGGTGAACGGAAGGTGCAAACCCGTCCATCGGCAGGTGGGGCGATCACAAAGTCGGTTGAGCCAACTTGCGTTCCGCAGCAATATATAGGATGCACCGCCAACAAAGCCTCCCAGGTAGGCGCCGAAGATCGCGATGCCGCCTTGCCAGAAATACAGTACGCTGACGGGGATCGGCTGAGTAATGCGAGTCCCAAAAATCAGTTACGTGGAGCACTCGCGCGCCGACGATGCCCCCGATGATGGACCAGGTGGCGACCGAAAGAATGGCGTCGCCATCGAGGCTGTCGCGCCGGCCCCAAAACCAGGTGAGGTAAACGGCGACCGCCACGGCGACGAAGGTGAAGAAGCCATGCCAGGACAGCTGGAATGCGGCGGTGCGGATTATGTCGGGGTCGAACGGGATATTTATGACTGCGAGGATGTCCATGGAGTTGCAATTCCTGTCTTTATTACTGAGGGATGTGAGGATGCGTTATTGCCGCCACCGATTTGGCTAAATGGTTCGGACAAGGTACGCCGTTGCACCGGTGTTTCGCAAGGCGGATTGAACCGCCGTGTATTCAATTTCGGTTGATGGAAGTGAAAAGAAAGATGGTCCAGCGCCGGACAAACGAGGTGCATGTTTGACCAGACCGGCAACAATATTCCATACGTCCGAAAGGCCAGGAAAGATTTCCAGCGCGGCACGTTCAAAGGCGTTACGCCACTGGCCGGACGTTATTAAAGTGTCGGTTATGGTGGAAGATATCCGGTGCGTGCAACTCCCATCGGAAAAATCTCCGGGTTCCAGGGCTGCAAACAGCGTTGGAGTTTTGGACTCCAGCGTTTCGCGCGGTACTACCAGGAGCACGTCATGGGGAGGCAACGGCGGCAGGGGAATCAATTGGTCACCCCGGCCCGTGGCCAGCGCCGTACCGCCGTCGATGCAGAACGGAACGTCAGATCCGATGCCGGCGGCCACCTTCGCCAGTTCCTCACGAGATATTTGCAATTGCCACAGGTCATTCAGGCCGCGCAGCGCGGACGCGGCGTCGGAAGAGCCACCACCAAGACCCGCGGCCACGGGGATCTGCTTGGTGAGGTGAATGTGCGCGTTCGGGCGGACGCCGGCGTGATCTGCCAGGGCCACTGCGGCCCTCCAGATCAGGTTGCGCTGGCCGTCAAGGTCAGGGTCGTCACACTCTACCGTGAGAGATCCGGCGGGTTTGATGGTCAGGGTGTCGGCCAGGTCGATGGATTGCAGGATGGTGGCAACATCGTGGTATCCGTCGGAACGCCGGCCAATGATCTCGAGGGTCAGGTTGACCTTGGCAAAAGCCTGGACCTGCAAACCGGGGTTGGACATCTAGCGGGAACCCCGGGCGCGGGTTCCGTTTACTTCGCCACTGTTGTGCTGACTGCGGTGCCGTGGAACCCCCGCCGGCCAGTGAGTGTCCAGGGTCAACCATTCGGGTATGGAAAGCGTAGCCGGGCGCCGCTGCCCGTCGATGCCCGCATCGGTCAATACGGCCGACACGAACTCAGCGGGCGAACCTGAACCCTGCATCAGCGAGTTGCGTAATTGCTTGCGGGGTGCGGAGAAGCCAGAGCGGACCAGGGCAAAGAATTCCTCGATCCCGTTGAGAGGATCCGGTTGGGTCTCTTTCATCACGAGTTTGATGACCGTGGATGATACCTTGGGCGGCGGTCTGAACGACCGGGGCGGCACCTGCGCGACTACCGACGGAACGGCGTAGAGTTGGGTGGCCACTGACATCAGGGTCATTTGCCCGGGGGCAGCGCACATGGCGTCGGCGACCTCGCGTTGCACCATGACTATCAGCGAAGTGGGAGGTACTTGAGATTCCAGAAACCTCCGAAGAATGGGGGCGGCGGCGTAGTACGGCAGGTTGGCAACCAGTTTATAGGTGCTCCGGCCTTCCAGCAGCGCTGGGATATCGATGGTTCGGGCGTCTCCCTGCACCACCTTGAGATTGGGAGGGTTGTCCATCCGTTCGGGCAACACTGCAGCCAGGTGAGGATCTATTTCGACGGCAATGACGTTGCTGCCGCTGGCAATCAATCGCCGGGTCAATGTGCCTGAGCCGGGGCCAATTTCCAGAATCGTATCGCCAGGAGACGGCTGTGCTGCGGCGACAATTCGTTGGGCAATGCGGGGATCGGTCAGGAAGTGCTGACCGAGGGACTTGCGCGGTCGCCGGCGTGATGACGTTGCGGGTAAAGCGCCTGGCGTTTGGTCGGGAAGAGTCATTCGAACACCGCGTATCGCGCCGGATGCGATCGGGTTGGGTCAAGTGCGCGGTTCATCGGGTCAGCGCAATTGGTGGGGAAAGTTTCGTGGCCGAGCACCGCCCGTTGACTGCAGCCTGGGAGCATATCACCGAAAAGAACTCAAGCCAGGCACTCCCACGGCGCCCGCTGGACATCGCTTACCGTTGCTTCCTTCCGGACCTGGCGGGGTTTGCAAGCCTGCGCCGCGTGGGACCCGGCCCTCAACATTATTTTCTGTGACATTGGCTCTTGCGCCTTGCCGAAGGGAGGAATTCCACCCCGCTGTGGCGGGTTGCGGGTGTAGGGCACCGCCAGCTCCCCGTGTAGCACGACCACACAATAATGGTAGAGGGCCACTGTTCTGATGTCAATTGAATCCAGAACTGACCGGCCAGGTTATGTCCTGAACCGAAGCATCGGAAACCGCAAAATGTGGAGAGTGCCTGCGTAAACAGGGAGGTTTTCAATGTTGGTTGATCGGCTTATCAATGTATTTGGCAACCCTGTGTATAGAATCCGGAGGCGCTGCAACTTGAACCGGGAACCAAAAATGGCTAAAATTGGCGATTGCTGCATCGTTTGGGCGCCCGCGAACCGCGCTGATCCCATGCGATTCGGCCAATCGATCTGGAGGAAAGGGTGATTGAATGTACTAGGCACTCACGTGTTGCTGGATCTTCGAGAATGCGACCCTCAATTGCTAAACGACTTGGATCACATCCGGAATGAACTGCTAAAGGCTGCTGCTGCGGTGGACGCCCACGTTGTCGGAGAGTCGTTTCACCAGTTCACACCTCAGGGAGTGACTGGTATCTTGTCAATCGCCGAATCGCATATTTCCATACACACGTGGCCGGAACACAGATATGCGGCGGCGGATATTTTTACGTGCGGTGATCAGACCATGCCTGGTAGAGCCGCCAACCTGATTATTGAAGCGCTGGGTTGCCGCGCCCCCCAAATCACCGAAATACGGCGTGGACTGAACGAATCGATCGTTGCCGATCTGCAATCGGTTCATCTCGTCAAGTAACCGCCCTGCTGGCGTCTGCGGGACTTGGTCTGTACGTGGCCCGGCCTGTTACCCCAATCTGCCTGGAACGCGGGATCAGTGACCATGGCTAACTACCCGATGGAAGACATCACAGGCAAGTGGGTTATCGAAACCGTCTTGCCCGATCTGGCAATAATGTTGAAGGTCGACGAGGTTTTGTATTCGGGTCATACCGGGTTCCAACGGGTTGAGGTCGTGCATTCCGACGTCTATGGGCGCAGCCTGTTGTTGGATGGCAAGACGCAATCTACGGAGCGGGATGAACATATTTATCACGAAAGCCTGGTGCATCCCGCCATGCTGATGCACCCCGAACCTCGCTCCGTGTTTATCGGCGGCGGGGGTGAGGGCGGAACCCTGAGAGAGACGCTGGTCCACCGCACCGTAGAGCAAGTGGTGATGGTGGACCTCGACCAACAGGTGGTCGAACTATGCCGGCAGCACCTGCCCCATCATCATCAGGGGGCTTTCGATGACCCCAGGCTTGAATTGATCCACGATGATGCCCGAAAATATCTGGAGACCACCGACCAGCAATTTGACGTCATGGTAATGGACCTGGTTGACCCGTTGGAGGGTGGTCCCGCATATCTCCTGTATACCGAGGAGTATTACAAAATCGCGCGCGCCCGATTGAATCCGGGCGGCATTCTGGTTACTCAATCCGGACCGGTGGGGTTCCTGAGCCTTCACGAGTGTTTCACGACGATTTACAATACTCTTGACGGTATCTTCGTCCATTCGGTTCCGTATCAGGTACATGTCCCGTCATTCATCACCTTGTGGGGGTTCACCCTGGTATCTGATGCGCCTTTACCTGTGTTGAGCGAAGAAGAAATCGACGAGCGGTTGGCCGCGCGGATAGATAGGTCAACCCGCCATTACGATGGGGGCACCCACATCGCCATGTTCGCTTTACCCCGTTACATTCGGGAGGGAATTGCCGGCGAAACCCGAGTGAATCGGGATGATTCCCCGGTATACATGGTGTAGCATCCGCCGTTATCCGGCAGCGGCGGCAAGTTCAGGGAAACCTGACAACGGGAGCACCACTCCCGACGTTTCATAGCGTTCTACAAGGTCCCGAATTGACTGGGGGACGCGGCGCGTGTCGCCGGTGTTGGCATCGAAGCCCACATAAATCGCCTCGATCATGGTGATTGGCGCGTCGTCGGGTAGGGCGCCGGTGCGGTAAATACCTACTTCCAGGGTCAGGCTGGTGTTACCGATGCGCGACACCCTTGCCCTTAGATCCAGGATCTCGTCGACGCGCGCCGGCGATTTGTACTCGATGGTGGCTTTGACAACGGCGCTGTCGAAATACCCAGACGCGGCGATCCTATAGATACTGAATCCCAGGTTTCTGAAATACTCGGCCTGTGCGCGATTTCCAGCCATCCGAGGTAGCTGCCGTTGAACGCAATGCCCTGAGCGTCACATTCCTGCCAGCGAACGCGAACCGGCGTACTGAAGCGGAAATCGTCTTTTGGCACAGCTACCGATCCAATGCCTGGCGTTCCCGTGCTTGGTCGGCTGGGTTGTTTGATGGATCGCCGGATTCTCCGGACCAGCCCAGCTGTTCCAGGTAGATCCGGTCAGAATTGCTGAGTTCCGCAAACCGCAGCAGGTCGGGTCGCAGGCGCAACGTGCGTTCAAGGGATTGTTGGCGGCCGCGCCAACGAGCGATTTCGGCATGATTTCCAGACCGAAGCACCTCGGGAGTCGTCATGCCTCGGAACTCCACTGGACGGGTGTACAGCGGATGCTGCAGCAATCCCGAAGTGATGCTGTCTTCATGCACGTTTTCGGCTGACCCTACCACATCGGGTATGAACCGCGAAACCGCGTCGATGACGACCATGGCGGCCAGTTCACCGCCGGTTAGCACATAGTCTCCAATGCTGATTTCATGAGTAGCCAGACCGGTGCGGATTCGTTCATCTACTCCAGCGTAGTGCCCACAGACAATAACGATATCGGGGGCAACCGCCAGTTCGTCGATCAATCGTTGATTCAGCTGTTCACCCTGGGGAGACATGAGAAGAATCGGGATTAGGTCTGGTTCCTCCGGAGGCAGGGATTCCAACACATCCTCGACCGCACGAAATATGGGCTCGGGTTTCATTACCATGCCCGGCCCGCCTCCGAACTGGTAATCGTCTGCAGTGCCGTGCCGGTCGAACGTGAATTTGCGAATGTCGGTAACAGTTACGGAAACGAGGCCACGGTGCACGGCGCGACCCAGAATGCTGTAACTGGTCGCGCCTTCAAAGGCCTCTGGAAAGAGGGTTACAACGTGGAAACGCATTGGTTATCGGGCGGTTTCATTACGGGGGATGAGTGTATGGGAGGTCCTTTGGCCAGTGCGCCGGTGAGGGAATTCTTCACGCCGGTTGGAGGTTGAGCGTCGACAGGCGATTCGTGTGGGCGATGCCGCCCTTCATGATGAGTTGCAGGCGCTCACGGTCACGCAACACGGAAATGTTACTCAACGGATCGCCGTCCACAACCAGAATATCGGCCTGTTTGCCGGGTTCCAGGGTACCGGTTTCGTTGCCGATCCCGCAGCACACTGCGGCGTGGCCGGTGGCAGACTGAATGGCCAGCATGTTGCTCATTCCCTTTTCTACCATCAACTCCAACTCGCGGGCGTTGTCCCCGTGGACGAACCCGCCGGCATCCGTGCCGGCGACGATGCGTACACCTTCTTTGATGGCCAATTCCACGCTTTCTATATGGATTTGCATCAACGCCTCGGCGCGCGCCTTGATGTGTGGCGCACTGACCGTGCTATGAAAATCGTATACCTCGAATGTTGGGGTGAAGAATGTACCCTGGTCGGCCATCATTTTTAACCAGTCAGCGTTGACCGCGAGGTAACATCCGTGTTCGATGGAACCGGCGCCGGCCTGGATGGCAATCGGCAGACCGGTTCCCCCGACTGCGTGGCAGAGGGTTCCGCAGCCCAGTGCCGCAGCTTCATGCACCAGGGCGTTGGCCTCGTCCAGGGCGTAGGCTTGATCCAGCGGCCCGTTGCCGGGGCGGCCGGAGGCTCCACCGGTGGTTGCAAACTTGATCTGGTCGGCCCCGCAACGGACTAGTTCACGAACCTTCGCCCGCACACCTTCCACGCCGTCGGCGACTCCCGAGGGAGACAGGGGATCGTGGCCCAGAAGATGCTTGCTGTGGCCACTGCCGCTGACCTTATCTTCGATGCCTCCGGTTGGCGTAATGATATTTACCGAAATGATAAGGCGCGGCCCGATAATCAATCCCTGCTCCACCGCCATCTTGAAGCCGGCATCCAGACCGCCGGCGTCGCGTACGGTGGTGTAACCGGCGGCCAGCGTGTCTTCGATGACCCGCGCGGTCTGGATGTTGCTGAACGACAGGGGTTCGTCCATGCCCCAGCGGCCGGTGAGGCCGTATCCGCCCGATGCCAGGTGGTCATGAACATCAATGAGTCCCGGCATGATGGTTCGCCCGGAAGCGTCCAGGACTTCGGCGCCCTCTGGTATGGTGATAGCGGCGCGGGGACCGACTTCTACGATGAGTGAACCGTCGACGAGGACGGTGGGCGTTTTCAACAACGGGCTGCCCCAGGCCATCGATCAAATTGCCGCCTACTATCGCCAGCATAACGTACCTCCAATGGGTGTGAGCGCAGTGAGCGAATCCGATTTCAGGAAATAAGCAGGGGTTGAGTTCAAACGCGCCGGGGATCCGCCGAGAGTTGGATGCTAAATTGGCTGCCGGGGCTTGTCAAGATTTCCGGCAACTAGGGGCGTAGAACGGTAACAACCCGCGTAATCGTCCAACGGGGTAGGCGCTTCACTCTCGGTACGGCTGGCCCGTGGGGTATAATTGCGGGATTATAGGGTTTTGGAAGTATCCCGGAGCATGATCCATCGGCACAGGTTTATCACCTCGCGAACGTCCGGGGAAGAACTGGCCCGGCGAGTATCTGATTTAGAAAACGGCGCCGTGGTCATAAAAGCACACCGGTGGTTTGCGATTGCGGCGATCCTGGCGCTCCTGGCAGCATTACCCGGATGTTTCGTCGGTAACTGGTTTGGCGGGAGTCTGCCATCGGTTGCATACGTGAGCGGCGACAACGATTCAATGCAGGTATGGGTGGCTGACCTGGACGCGGATGAGCCGGTTCGAATATCGAGTCGCAACGTCGACTCCAGGTTCCCGCGGTGGTCGAGAGATTACAAATTGCTCGCGTGGGTGTCGTTGGATGGTGGCGATCCGGCCCAACTGATGGTGTACGAACGGGAAACGGGGGATGTGGTCACCCTGGTTTCGGGTGTAGATCCGGAGCAACTGCCAGTTTGGTCTCCGATGGGCGACAAAATCGCTTACGTATCCGTCGCCGATGGGGAACCTGACCTGTATATGGTTGAACTGGAGAACGGCCGGGAAACCCGGCTGACATTCACGACGGAGCGAGAGCAGTTGGGTGATTGGTCCCCCGACGGCGAATGGATCGTGTTCACGGAAGACGGAAGCGACGGATTACTGTTGCGGAACCCCAATGGTGTTAACCGAGTGCCGCTGACTCACGGGCCGGACGTCGACCCGGCGTGGTCTCCCAAGGGTGACCGCATCGCCTTCGTGCGGAACTCCCGGGACGGCGGGGATGTTTATGTGTTGCGTCCGACTCAATCGGGCGATTGGGCCGCCGACACCGACGAGGTGGCTGTGTCGGAGCGGGATGACGATGAACGCAACCCGGACTGGTCGGGAGATGGTCGCCGACTGGTATTCGTGGTCAACAACGAAGGTCAAACCGATATTTACACGGTGCTGGTGGACGGGTCGGACCGAAAGCGCCTCACGCACAACCTGTCGGATGATTTGCAGCCCACCTGGTCGCACGCTGGGGGTAAGATCGTTTTCGTTTCCTACGCCTATGGCAACCCCGAGATTGTTTACATGAACGGTGACGGTTCTGAGCAAAGACGGGTTACCATCAATGACCAGATCGATACGCAGCCCGATTGGTAGCCGCCGACCGAACCGAATCCACGGTGTCCGAATGACGAACCCGCAACCCGATATCGATCCGGCCAATGTGGCTCCCATGCTGGGGCAACTCAGCGTACCGCTGGCGGCCATCTCGGTGCGGAGTGGGGACGTGGTGAACGCCCAGATTGCGGTCACGGTTACGTCGGCCTCCATCGTGCTGCACCGGCCGCGGGTTATCGTGCAGATTTACCACACCAACTACACTCACGAATTGATTGCGGCGAGCGGTGTGTTGGCCGTGAATTTCCTTGAAGAACACCAGCTGCCTCTCATCTGGGAATTGGGTATGCGATCGGGCCGGGACTACGACAAACTGGCCGGGGTTCCGTACCAGGAAGGTTCAACTCGCAGTCCGCTGCTGGAAGGATGTTACGGGTATCTGGACTGCCGCGTGGTGAACGCGATGGATGGCGGGGACATGACCGCTTTCCTGGCGGAAGTCGTGGCGGCCGAAACTTTAGGCGGTACGCCAATGCGATGGCGTGAAGCACGTCACGGTTACCCAGGCAATGGTCGGACGAATGGGACCGCAAAATAGCCGGGGAAATGGCTACGTCTGTCGAATCGATGCACAAACTCGACCCGTCAGCATGGACGGAAGCGCCCTTTGTACGGAGAACGGGATGAATCAACAACAAATCGATATGTCAGTGGACCCGGCCATCCTCGACGTGGTGGCCCGGATTCATGACACGCCAGAGCAGGCGGTTCTGGCGGTGGCGGGGGCGGGGAATTACGCCCTGGCATGGTTGCTGGGAGTAGGAGGGGCATCTCGGACGGTGCTGGAGACCCGAGTGCCCTACGGGTATTTGGCGATGACCGATCTATTGGGCGGGTACGCCCCCGATCAGACGGTGTCAGTTGACACCGCCCAGCGCATGGCTCGGGCGGCCTGGGATAGAGGATTGGCACTGCGGGAAGGATCAGCTCCTATTGTGGGCGTTGCCTGCACGGCAACGATCGCAACCGACCGAACGAAGCGCGGCGACCACCGGGCGTTCGTCGCCACCTGGGACGAGACGCAATGCACGGTGGACTCCCTGACGCTGGAGAAGGGACTGCGCGACCGCATCGGTGAGGAAGATGTGGTTAGCAGGTTGGTGATTGCGGCGGTTGCCAAGGCCTGCGCCGTTGACGCCGAAGTGGATTTGAGACTGAATTCGTCGGAGCAGGTATTGACTGAAACGCGCCCGCACGGGGACCCGATCGAGCGTCTGTTGAACGGCGCCGCCAATTGGGTGACGATTCACCCGGATGGCCGCTCGGTTGCGGATGCGGATCGGCCGATGGCGCTGCTTCCGGGGTCGTTTAACCCGGTTCACGAGGGCCACACCGAGTTGGCCGCCGCTGCAGCGGAGTTTTTGGGGACTCCTGTGGCCTACGAATTGTCGGTAACCAACGTCGACAAACCGCAACTGGAGTACGAAGATGTGAGCCGTCGGGTCGCCCAATTTCGAGGCGAAGGGACGGTAATCCTGACCCGCGCGGAGACGTTTCGCAAGAAAGCCGAGATATTCCCCGGATGCGGGTTTGCCATTGGCTGGGACACCGCCACTCGCTTGATCCAACCGCGTTATTACGCCGATTCGGAAATTGCCATGCTGACGGCGTTGGCCGAAATGTGGGCATTGGGATGCCGGTTTGCGGTGGGAGGCCGAGCCGATGCGGCTGGGGCGTTTCGTACGCTGGCCGATGTCGCGATCCCGGAGGGATTTCGGCCGTTGTTTGTTGAAATACCGGAGCCAGATTTCCGGGCGGACGTTTCATCAACTCGCATTCGCGAAACCGGTGGTGGGTAACGGGCAGATTACGGCCGTCGTCCCGCAACGTTGACACCGGAACAGGCCGTTGCTACGATGATTAGAACGTCCGAAACCGTAGACGCCCGAATTGGGCTGGACCTCATCCCTGATCAAGTCGGTCAAGACTGCTAACCATGCTTAATGCCGTACCAATTCAGTCATTCAACCCGGCCGACTATGTTGGCAATTGGACCGCGGTTGTGTTGGCGATAGTCATCGCGCTGGTGGCTATCGGGGGTATGTTCGCGGCATCGCAGATACTGTCGGCCCGGCGCCGCTCGGCTGCCAAGTTGACCACCTATGAATGCGGGATACCACCCACGCCCTTCGCGTGGTCAAACATAAACATACGGTTCTACATTTTTGCCATCATGTTTTTGATTTTCGACGTCGAGGCGGTGTTCCTGTTTCCTTGGGCGGTGGTGTTCCTGCAAGAGAAAGCTGCCGGCAACCCGATTCCGTTCTACGCCATGATGCTGTTCCTGGCGATGCTGTTCTTCGCCGTAATTTATGGTTGGCGCAAGGGAGTGCTGGAATGGCAGAAATAAACTCCTCGGCATCACCGGGCGGCAACACGCCGGAAGAACCTTCGCCGTTGGCGATGGCGCCGCAGCGTACAGAGATAATCATGGGGGAGGGAAATCAACCCGGCCCCAGCCTGCTGAATCAGGCGACCGACGGGCGAATCCCGGGCGTAATCACCGCCACCACCGAGCAATTGTTTGCAATGGCGCGCAAGTCGTCTTTGTGGACGTTGAGTTTCGGTCTGGCGTGCTGCGCCATCGAGATGATATCCACCTATATGGCCCATCATGATTTTGACCGATTCGGCGTGGTTACGTGGCCGTCTCCGCGCCAGTCGGACGTCATGATAGTCGCGGGAACGGTGGTGAAAAAGATGGCCGAACCCATCAGGCTGCTATACGAACAGATGCCGGAACCCAAGTGGGTTATCGCCATGGGCAGCTGCGCGACCAATGGCGGGCCGTACTATCGTTCATACTCGGTGGTGATGGGTGTTGATCATATTATTCCGGTGGACGTATACGTGCCCGGTTGCCCCCCGAGGCCGGAAGCGTTGCTGTACGGCATTTTGAAATTGCAGGAAAAAGATAATGTCCGACGCAGGGAACCGTGGCAGACAGTCTCCAGAATAGCGGGAGCGCGTCGACGGGACCCGAAAACGAACCCGAGACGGTTGTAGAACCTGATCCCGTCGATGATCTCTCTGCTCATCACCGGGCGACGTTGGACCGCGCCGTAGCCGTATTGTCAGTCTGGAGCCCTGTCCCGGGAGTTTTGGGAGATTTGCCGCAGGTTACCGTACCTGCCGCCAGCATTGTCGACGCCTGCGCCACCTGCCGCGACGACAGCCAGCTGGATTGCCGGATGCTGCTCTGTTTAGCCTGTGTGGACTACCGGGAACGATTTGAGCTGGTGTACTTTTTGCAATCGCTGGCGATGGAGCGGACACTGGTGATCAAGGCGGAAGTCCCGTACGATGGGCCGTCGTTACCGTCCGTTGCGACAGTGTGGCCCGCCGCCGACTGGTATGAACGCGAGGCGCATGACCTGTTTGGCGTGGTTTTTGAAGGCCACCCAGATCTGTCGCCGTTGCTGCTGTACCCCGAGTTCGAGGGGTTCCCCGGTCGGAAGGAATACGCGTTTTACGAGTATCGCGAGTTTTAGTGTCTGGGTTGGATACTATGCCCGAAACTGACCGGCTAGTACCCGATGGCGAAATCCCCATCGAATTGGTGGCGACGGTGGAGTTGGACGGCACGAAATACGTGGCCTCCGTGGAAGGTTTGGAGCTGGAAACGACAGGCAATACCGAGTCGGCGGCGCAAAACGCGCTCATTCAGGCGATGCGCGGCTGGTTGGAGCGTCAGGATACGTTTGGAAAGCTGGCCGAAGCGCTTGGTTTGGAATACCTGGACGAGGAGGCGGAGATCGTCTTGCGGTTTAGATCAGCGGGTGAAGTCCGTTCGTCGGCAGGGAACGACTGAAACTCATGGACCGGATTGTGTATCAAATCGAGGAATCCCGGGCTGGCTCCGGTTGGTCAGCGTATTGCCCCGAATTCCAGGTCACGGTGTTTGGAGACTCCCGGGAGGAAGCGCGGACAGCGTTGCGCCGGCAGGTTTCTGATTACCTGGAGGACTGCGAGCAATTGGGCGCGCTGGACGAAGTACTTGGAGAAGCCGGATTTTACGATAACGGAGACGTCTGGATGAGCAGCCTGATTGAAGCGCCGCAACCCAGTCTCCGATTTTTGGGAACGCCATTCGAGACAACCGAAGAGGACTCGGGCCGGTAAACCGGAGCGGTAACGTCATGACTGACCGACCAACTACCACACCGGACTCGGCAATGTCGATGCGGAGTGACTCCCAGCCGGTGGAGATGCTGCTCAACATGGGGCCGCAGCATCCTTCGACTCACGGCGTTTTTCGCATGGTGCTGTGGGTTGATGGGGAGAAAGTGGTGGACGTGGAGCCCCATATCGGGTACCTGCATCGGGGCTCGGAGAAATTGTGCGAGGGTGAGCAGTATCATCAGGTGGTGACACTGTTCGACCGCCTGGATTACATCGCCAATTTCAACAACGAACAGGCTTATTGTATGGCGGTAGAACGCCTGATGGGTCTGGAGGTACCGGAACGAGCCGAGTACGTGCGGGTGATTCTGTGCGAACTGAACCGGATCGCCAGTCACTTGCTTTACGTTGGTACGATGGGTTTGGACGCCGGCGCGATGACGCCGGTGATGTTCTCGTTCCGCGGCAGGGAAAGGGTGCAGTCCCTGTTTGAAGCGGTCTCCGGGGCCCGGATGATGCACAACTATTTCCGGATTGGCGGACTGAAAGAGGACGTGCCGGACAATTTTCGGCAGATGGTGAACGAACTATTGCCCGTGCTACGGCGCGACGTGGAAGAAAGCGACCGTATTTTGACATTTAATGAGATTTTCCTGTCTCGGCTGAAGGATGTCAGCCCGATTGGAGCGGACGAAGCCATCGCCCTGGGGTTGACCGGGCCCTGCCTGCGCGCCTGTGGGTACGAGTACGACGTACGGAAGGCACAGCCCTATTCCGTGTACGACCGGTTTGATTTCGATGTCCCGGTGGGTCTGGACGGAGATTGCTGGGACCGACATTGGGTGCGAATCCAGGAAATGTACGAGTCGCTGCGTATCGTGGAACAGGCGCTGGAGCAGCTGCCTGATGGGCCGGTGGCATCCCCGCTGGGTCGGCGGCTGGTCAGACCCCCTGCTGGTGAATCGTACGTACGGGCCGAAAACCCGCGGGGCGAGATAGGCGTATACCTGGTCAGCGATGGAACGGATCGCCCATATCGGGTTAAGGTGCGGCCGCCGTCGTTCTGCAACCTGTCGGCGTTGCGGCGCCTGCTGCGGGATACCTGGGTGGCCGACAGTGTGGTGGTGCTGGGCTCGTTGGATATCGTGCTGGGTGAGGTTGACCGATGAGTTTTCTCATCGATATCGGCTGGAGTGCACTCGCGCTGGCGGTGATGTTTGCCGCGCTATCGTTCATCGTGTTGTCGCTCACCTGGCTGGAGCGGAAGGCTTTGGGGAGACTGCAGTTGCGATACGGTCCGACCCGCACGGGGCTGTTCGGTCTGATGCAACCCATAGCCGACGCGGTTAAGCTGATTATCAAAGAGGACATCATCCCCGATGATTCCGAGAAGGCCATTTTCTGGATCGCTCCGGTAATTGTGGTGGTGTCGGCATTCGTTATCTGGGTGACAATCCCGGGCGGAGCCAATGCGGTGGTCCGGAACCTGCCGCTGGGACTGTTTTATATCGTCGCCTTTGCAGTAATTGGGATATTGGGTCTGGTACTGGCGGGTTGGGGTTCGGGTAACAAATACGGCATCATGGGTGGGTTGAGGTCTGCAGCCCAGCTCATATCGTACGAAATTCCGGTTGTGCTAATAGCGGCTTCGGTGGCGATTCTGGCGCAGTCGCTGGACATGCAGGAAATCGTGGCGCAGCAGGCATCTATCCCGTACATCTTGGTGTTGCCGCTGGGGTTTGTGGTGTTTTTCGTGGCGGGGTTGGCCGAAGTGGGTCGCACGCCTTTCGACATTTACCACGCTGAAAGTGAGGTGGTGGGTGGTCCGTTCGTCGAGTACAGCGGCGCCCACTGGTCGGTATTTTTCCTGGCGGAATACATCAACACCTTTGCCATTGCAGCCCTGTCGACCTTGCTGTTCCTGGGTGGTTGGGGGGGACCCTTCCTGCCCGATGTGGTGTGGTTCCTCCTGAAAACCTATGCGGTAATCCTGGTGGTCTTCTGGGTGCGGGGAACCTTCCCCCGCTTGCGAATCGATCAACTGATGTCTTTCGCGTGGAAGGTAATGGTTCCGCTGTCGTTCTACACCGTGATCGTTGCAGCGGTGTACCGATTTTACGAGTGGCCCTGGTGGAGTGTTACGCTGCTTTCGGTTCTTGGTCTGGCAGTGTCCGGCTGGATAATATACCGCCGCATGAGTGCCCCGGCCAGACGGGTGGCCCAGGTCAGGAGTCGGGTTGAATCGATGCAGCAGCGCGCCTCGCAACGGCGCACGTAGCATCTGATGCTGTTATCATGATGTTGGTCCCATTGAAAATTGCAGAGTGTTGCGAGATGCTGAGGGCTACGGTTCGCGTAATCGTTCAAGCGCGCGGATGATGGAGAGCGAACAGGTATGTTGGAAAGCGTAAAAGGAATGATGCAGACATTGGCGTCCGCCATGTTGGGCATTCGGCGCCCGGTTACTCAGCAATACCCCGACCAGCCGACACCCGTGCGCCCGCGCTTCATGGGTTTCCCTGCGCTGACGTGGGATGGACCGGTCGATGAACCCTACTGTACGGGTTGCATGGTGTGTATCCGAAACTGCCCGACCCAGTGCATGTCTGCCAGCATGATGGACAACCCGAAGCATGCGGAGGGGGAAAGCTCCCGGCGCAAGATAGTAGACTACTTTGAAATAAATCTGAATCGTTGTATATTGTGCGGCATCTGCGTGGAGTACTGTAATTTCGACGCCATCGTGATGAGTCACGAACACGAGATGAGCACGTACCAGCGCAACGGAGATCGGGTGGATCTGCCGGCATTGCTGGATATCGGCAAGAAATACCAGGAAAACACCCGTTGGATTCCTCCCACGGTGCTGGCAAAGCAACGGGCCGAAGCCGCCAAGGCAGCGAGCAACTCAGTTGCGGATGCCAGCGAAACCTGATCGCCAGGGATGCACTCAGAAATTTAGACAAGGCTGAACGTTTTGCCCAGAGAAGACGAACGGTTCCGAAATCTTTCTCCGCGACATCCGGAGTACTGCACGTGTGTGGAGTGCGCAGAAAAGCGGGTCGCCGGCAAGGGCGAATTCGGTGCGGTGCGCAACATTGGCGGTTTGGTAGGTAAACTTGCCGGTAAGGCAGCAAAAGCGGGTAAAATCGGCAAAGGTAAAAACCGTGGTAAATCCGGCGGCGCCGGCAAATCAAAGGGTAAGTCAAAAGCGGTGGCCGAAACAGTAAAAAAGCATAAACCCGATTGTGAGTGCGCCACCTGCACGCTATTGAAATCCATCTAAATACTAACTCGATTCAATACTAGCTCGATACGAAGCCAACCTCGGCTGATCCAACATACTCACAATGTCGCAGCTGGAGCCAACACCACACTGTCAAAGCCGCCGAACGGGCGGCTCGTACTTTGATACTCATACCGATCGCGGGATGCGGACAACCGGTCGGATGGACAGTTGACCGTGCAGTTGGCGCTGTTTGTAATCGTCGCCGTATTCACGCTGGGAGGCGCAATCGGCGTGGTGGCGACACGGAACGTCGTGCATGCGGCGTTGTTTCTCCTTTTGTCATTGCTGGGAGCTGCCGGCATATATCTGGTGCTTTTCGCCGAATTCCTGGCGCTGGTTCAGGTCCTGATATACGGCGGTGCGATAATCATCGTAGTGCTTTTCGCCGTGATGTTAACGCGGTCGTCCGAATACCCGCGTATTACGGATAACCGCCAGTGGCCGTTGGCGATTTTGACGGCGCTGGGGGTAGCCGCGGTGCTGGGATCGGCTTTCTGGCTCGCGCCAAAGATTGACTCGCAACCCCAGGCGCCAGAGTTCACGGGACTGGCGGCGTCGCTGTTTACCAAGTGGGCTTTGCCGTTCGAGATCGCCTCTCTGGTGCTGCTGGTGGCCCTGATTGGCGCCATCATCATTGCCCGCACGCAGGATCTGACGCCGTTGGAAGACGGGCAGTCGGGAATCAGTAATCCATAGCAGCCGATGGTTCCTCTGCTGTATTACCAATTGTTGAGCGCCGCTCTCTTCGGGATCGGTTTGTATGGCGTGTTGGCGCGGCGGAGCGCGGTATTGATTGTGCTGTCCATCGAGCTGATGCTAAACGCTGTGAATATCAACTTGATCGCCGCTGCTTCATACCTCAACGGTATCGGCAGGGTTCGAGGCTTTTGACGGACAGGTTATCGCCATATTCGTGATAACCGTTGCCGCCGCCGAAGTCGGTCTGGCTTTCGCAATCATCCTGCGGATGTATCGGAACCGCGGCACCGTCAATGTAGACGAGATCAACCTGCTGAAGTGGTAATCGGTATTGGTTGGTTCCTGAACAATGTCGCTTGCTTTTCTGATACCAGTATTCTCGTTCGTCGCGTGTCCGGCGATTATTCTGCTGCAACGCTGGTTGCCCCTGCGGGGAGCGGCGTTGGCCATTCTGGCAATCGCAGCCGGCTTCGGGTTGTGGGTTTGGGTGCTGGCGGATTTCCTGGGAGCGTCGGACGCTGTAAAAGGGTGCCAGGTCAGCGGACTTACCGGCGCATTGACGTGCCATTTCAGCACGGCATGGTTTGAGGCAGGTCTCCCCGGCGTTGCCGCCTCGATAGACCAGGCTATCCACGTCGAATGGGGTATTTTGATCGACCCCCTGACCGTGGTGCTGCTGGGGTTGGTGACTTTCGTGGCTCTTGGCGTGCAGTTGTATTCGCTGGACTACATGAAGGGCGATGCAAGGTTCGGTTGGTACTTTGCATGGCAGGCGCTATTCGTCGCAGCGATGCTCACATTGGTGCTGGCCGACAACTTCCTGTTGTTGTATATCGCCTGGGAACTGGTGGGCCTGTGTTCGTACCTGTTGATCGGATTCTGGTTCGAGAATCCGGGGCCGCGGGAAGCAGCCAAGAAAGCCTTCGTGGTTACCCGAATCGGCGATGTAGGACTGCTTGTGGGCATCCTGCTGTTGTGGGTGAACGTTGGGAGCTTCAGTATGAGCGACGCGTTTGCCGCCGCCCAATCGGGAGCCTTGGGCAGCGGTGTTACCACGGCGGCCGCGCTGCTGCTGCTGCTTGGAGCCATGGGGAAATCGGCGCAGTTTCCGTTTCACGTGTGGCTGCCTGATGCTATGGAGGGTCCCACTCCGGTGAGCGCCTTGATCCACGCGGCCACGATGGTTATAGCGGGGGTTTACCTGGTGGCTCGGGCCTATCCAATCTTCGTGGCGTCTCCGGAAGCCATGTTGGTAACCGCAACGATAGGATTGATTACGGCGCTTGGGGCGGCGACCATCGCCCTGGTGTCCACCGACCTGAAACGGATACTGGCTTACTCAACCATTTCCCACCTGGGATTGATGATGCTATCGCTGGGAGCGTTCGGCTGGACGGCCGCGGTATTCCACCTGATGGCGCACGGATTCGCTAAAGCGCTGCTGTTCCTGGGTGCCGGGAGCGTCATGCACGGCGTGGGAGCGCACGGCGACGTTGACATCCGCCGGGTGGGCGGGCTGCGCAAAGCAATGCCGATAACCGCCATCGTGTTTTCCATCGGAGCTCTGTCGCTGGGCGGCATACCCATACTGTCCGGTTTCTGGAGCAAGGACGAGATTTTGCTGGCCGTGGCGGTAGCGGGGAACTTGCCGGTTGTGTTCATAGTCCTGGCGATGCTGACCGCTTTCCTCAGCGCTTTGTACATGGCCAGGGCGATGTTTGTGGTGTTCTTTGGTGAGGCGGGCGAGGACAGTGGGCACGCCCACGAGTCCCCTATCTTCATGGTCGGCGTGATGTCGGTCCTGGCGATCCTGGCGCTGGGATTTGGCTGGATAGCATTCGACTGGCCAGGCGGTTTCAGCGGATTCGGCGGCTTTGTGTTCTTTGAACATGGAGAGAAATTCCACTTCAACATCCTGCTGGGTGTGCTTTCTATTGTGTTGGCCGTTGGCGCGTTCGTGGTCGCCTGGCTGATTTACGGACGCCGGTCAATCTCCCTGACAGCCTGGCGGGCGAGATTGGGGCCGGTGCTGCGGGTGGTAGAAAATCGCTATTACGTGGACGAGGTTTATCAATGGGGTATCGATCGGGTGGTGTTGACAGTGTCCACCCGCCTGGCCTTTTTCGATCGCGCTGTGGTGAATGATGTTGGGGTGAACGCCCCTGCCGATACGGTTCGCCGGGCGGGAGTGGCGCTGCGGTTGCACGTTACGGGGCACGTATACACATACGCCCTGGCGGTGGCATTGGGGGTCGTGGGCCTGGCGATATTCTGGTGGCTACGGTCAGTCTAGCCTGTTGCCGCGACCGGATTGACGATGGCAAATTTCGATCAGGTATCCCTGTTGCTGCTGGTTTTGGTTCCGCTGGCCGGCGGAATGCTGGCCATGTTCCTGCCCAAAGACCGGCCGCGAGACGCGTGGCAGTTCGCAATTCTGGTGGCGGCTGTCTCGCTGGCGCTGGCGGTGGTGGTGTTTGTGCGCTATGACTACGGCGATGGCGGCATTCAGTTTCAGAGGGAGTTTGCCTGGATTGGCCATCCCATCAACATCAATCTTTCGTTCGGGTTGAACGGCATCGGAGCGCCCCTGGTTTTGCTCAACGGCATTGTGCTGATGGGTGCGGTTCTGATCAGCCAGACCATCCGCCGTCGCACTCGAGACTTCTTCGTGCTGCTACTGGCGTTGGGAGCGGGAGTGTACGGCGTATTCATAGTGCGCGATCTGTTCTTCCTGTTCTTTTTCTACGAATTGGCCGTATTACCGATGTATTTGCTGATCGGGGTTTGGGGCAGCAGCACCGATTTCAAAGACTTCCTGCGCACCAAAGAGTACGGGGCAATGAAACTGATGGTCATGCTGGTCGCCGGAAGCGTATTGATCTGGATCGGGATTCTGGCGTTGTACGTGGCGTCCTCCCGGGCCGGCTTGCCCAGTTTCAACATCGATGTCCTGTCCGAATTGGAGGCGGGCGGTTACATCAGCCGCGGTCTGCAGATCTGGGTGTTCCCGCTGTTCATGGTGGGATTCGGCGTGCTGGCCGGATTGTGGCCGCTGCATACCTGGTCACCGGATGGGCACGTGGCGGCTCCCACGGGAGTGAGTATGCTGCATGCCGGTGTGCTGATGAAGCTGGGCGCCTTCGGTATCATTCAGGTGGGCATGGTACTCACCCCGGATGGAGCCGAGGTTTGGATGCCGGTGTTGATCGGCCTGGGAACCGTGAACGTCGTGTACGGGGCGATTTCTGCCATGTCCCAAAACGACCTGAAGTATGTAATCGGATATTCCAGTGTCAGCCACATGGGTTATGTATTGATGGGAATCGCTACGCTGCATCCGGTTGGACTGGCCGGAGCGGTGTTGCAAATGTTCTCCCACGGCATCATGACGGCGCTAATGTTTGCAATGGTGGGTGCGATCTACGAGCGAGCCCACATACGGGATTCACTGATATTGAACGGTTTGGTCAAGCGAATGGGAGTAACCACGTTCTTTTTCGCGGCTGCCGGTCTGGCGTCGTTGGGTTTGCCCGGAATGAGCGGGTTCATCGCGGAGTTTATGGTTTTCACCGGAGCGTTCCGTACCTATTGGCCGCTTGCCGTGTTGGGAGTCATCGGCGCCGCGATAACAGCGGTGTATATCCTGAGGCTGCTGGCGCGATCATTCTTCGGTGAGGGCGATCCACAGTGGGATCACCTCACTGACGCCAGCCCGGTGGAGAAGGGCGTTGGCGCTGTTTTCGTTGGGATCATCATTGCAGTGGGAATTTGGCCGGCCCCCTTGCTGCGCGTAATCAACACCGGCGTGGAAAGCACGCTGGCAGTGTTTTAGGGATTACCTTTGATGGAAACCGGCCTGACGACTAACCTGCAGCTGCTGATGCCTGAGTTCGCGCTCACCGGGCTGGCTTTCCTGGTGTTTACGTTGGACCTGTTTTTGCCGGAGCGGTCGAAGGAATGGCTGGCCGGATTGTCGGTGTTGGGCTTGATCGGAGTCGGCGCAATCGCGCTGCTGATGCTGCCGGGCCGCAATGTCGAATTGTACGGCGGGTTGCTGGCAGTGGATGGTTTTGGTCTGTTTTTTAAGGTGTTCTTCCTTGCCATCGGCATCGGCATCATCGCGATTGCTCTGGAATATGGAAAAGCGCGACTGCAGCATCGGGGCGAGTTTTACGGATTGCTGCTGTTTTCCATCCTGGGGATGAATTTGATGGCCATGTCCCGTGAGCTGCTGACGGCATACATTGCCCTGGAACTGTTGTCCTTCAGCCTGTACGTGTTGGTGGCCTACGGACTGCGGGAAGCCCGTTCCAACGAAGCTGGCATCAAGTACATCATTATCGGGGCGTTGTCGTCGGCGGTGATGTTGTATGGATTGAGCAACATCTACGCCGCCCTGGGTACTACGTACTTTTCGGGAATAGCGGCAGCGTTATCATCGCCGGCCACCGACAATCCCGTATTGTGGGTGGGACTCGCGTTGCTGATAGTGGGACTGGGGTTCAAATTGTCGGCGGTGCCGTTCCACATGTGGGCGCCGGATGCCTACGAAGGCGCTCCGCTTCCGGTCACGGCGTACCTGGCCATCGGCTCCAAGGCCGCCGCTTTCGCGCTGACGCTGCGCCTGTTGGCTGAAGCAGTGGCGCCGGCTGGTGACCGGTGGGCGGACTGGCAGTTGGTAATCGCGGTTCTGTCCGCCGTTACCATGCTGGTGGGTAATCTGGTGGCGCTGGCGCAGAGCAATCTGAAGCGGTTGATGGCATACAGCAGCATCGGGCACGTGGGATACACCCTTGCCGGAATCGCGGTGTTGGGCGACGATTTTGCCCTGGCGGCGAAGGCCGTAATCTTCTATCTCGTGGTGTATGCCATCACGAACCTGATCGTGTTCGCCGGTTTGGCGTCGTATTACAACAGCACGGGAAAGGACAACATAGCCGATCTGGCGGGACTGGCTGACCGGCAGCCGTTCACCGCTGCCGTACTGGCAATCGGCCTGTTCTCGCTGGCAGGTTTGCCAATATTCGCCGGGTTCACGGCAAAGTTCTACCTGTTCGCTGCCGTGGCGGATGGTGGTTTCCTGTGGCTCGCCGGGGTGGCGATTTTCAGCAGCCTGGTTTCGTTGTATTACTACCTGCAGGTTCTGAGGCAGATATACATCGAGCCGGCAGCGCCGGAATCCGGAACGGAGGGCGACGCCGCGGCCGAACACGGTGGAGGTCATCATGATGCCGAGCCGGAGCAGGATTCGCTTCCAGTGCCAATGCTGCCGCGTCCGTCGATCACATTGTCCGCCACCATGGGCGTGGGTGTCCTGGCAGTTATATGGCTGGGAATATATCCGGCGCCGTTACTGGCTGTCATTGAGTTTGCCAGCTCGGCCATACTACCAATGGGATAATGCACAACGAACCGGGAACGCTCGCACGAGGTGAACGCAAGTGATAATTGCAGTGATTGGTAACTTTGACCCACCGCCCCATATTTACGCGCTGGCTGAAGAGGTGGGACGAGAGTTGGCGAAACGCGGGATAACACTGGTGTGCGGTGGTCTCACCGGTGTAATGGAGGCGGTGTGCAAGGGAGCCAAGTCGGAGGGCGGCACTACCATCGGCATTTTGCCCGGCGGATCGCCCGGCACTGCTAATGACTACGTAGATATTCCAGTCGCGACCAATATGGGATACGCCCGGAACGTGGCGGTGGTCAGCACCGGCAGTTCCGTCATCGCGGTGGGCGGCGCCTTTGGCACGCTCTCCGAAATCGCCTACGCTCTAAGTTATGGCATCCCGGTGGTGTCGCTGAACAGCTGGCCGCTGACCTTGCGCGGCGACGGTCAGCCCGTGGGCGACGGTTACATTATCGCCGACGACCCCGCCGACGCCGTCCAGAAAGCTATCGCTGCGGCGGAAGCCCGTACGGTGGACACTGGCACCGTGGCATTTTCCGAACCTATAACGAGAGGTGCCTGATGCCCGCCGCCGCCATTGCAACTATCGTTGGTCGCGAAGCTCTGGATTCGCGAGGAAACCCGACTGTTGAAGCGGAAGTAACCCTGACCGACGGCAGTGTTGGTCTGGCACTGGTACCCTCCGGCGCCAGTACCGGCAGATACGAGGCGCTGGAACTGCGGGATGGGGACGCATCGCGTTTTGGCGGAAACGGCACGAAAACCGCGGTGGCCAATGTAAATGACCGTATCGCACCCGCTTTGAAGGGAACATCACCGTTTGTCCAGCGCGACATCGACGCCGCATTGCGCGAGTTGGACGGCTCCGATGACAAGAGTGGACTGGGCGCAAACGCGGTGCTGGCGGTGTCCATGGCGGCGGCGCGGGCAGCCTCAGTATCTGCGGGTGACTCTTTATGGCGACACTTGTCAGATGGAAGGCCGGTTTCGCTGCCGGTGCCGATGCTGAATATCCTGAATGGCGGACGCCATGCCTCCAACTCCGCTGATGTCCAGGAGTTTATGGTCGCGCCGGCCGGATTCGAACGGTTCTCCGATGCATTGCGAGCCGGAGTGGAAATTTACCAGTCATTGAAATCAATTCTCAGGGACAGCGGACATAACCTGAACGTGGGCGACGAAGGTGGGTTCGCTCCCACATTGCCGTCCAACCGAGACGCCATTGAAGTGGTTTTGCAAGCTATCGCGTCTGCCGGTTACGAACCGGGACGCCAGGTGTACATTGCGCTGGATGTGGCGGCTTCGGAACTCTGGAACGCCGAAACCGGTGAGTACGACCTGGCGCGCGAGGGAACGTCCTTGAGTGCGGAGCAGCTGGTGGCGTTGTATGCGGGTTGGTGCGATGAGTATCCCATCATCAGTATCGAAGACGGGTTGTTTGAGGATGATTGGGACGGCTGGACGACGTTGACGCAGCAGTTGGGAAACCGGATTCAGTTGGTCGGCGATGACCTGTTGGTTACCAACATCTCACGTTTGCGCCGGGGTATTGACACCGCGGCGGCCAATGCCATCCTGCTCAAACCCAACCAGATCGGCACGATATCGGAAACTGAAGATGCCCTTTCCATGGCGAGGGACGCCGGTTGGACGGCGGTGATGAGTCACCGGTCGGGGGAGACTGAAGATACGACCATCGCCGACCTGGCAGTTGCATGGGACGTTGGTCAAATTAAAACTGGCGCCCCAGCCCGATCCGAACGGGTGGCCAAATACAACCGGTTGTTACGCATCGAAGCTGAACTGGGACCGGATGCGCGGTACGCGGGCAAGTCGATTTACCGCCATTTGATATTGTAGTTATTACGATAATGTTAATTATCGGCGCCCACACGGGCGTCGCGGGTGATATAATCGCCGTCGCCAGGGTTGCGAATCTAATCGACTCGCAAGACAAACAGGCTGTGCGAATATCGCGCCGTTTCACCTGTCACACTAAACACGATTGACGGGAGGCACACCGAGATGGTGACGCGTATTGGTATCAATGGCTTCGGTCGTATTGGGCGGTTGGTAGCCCGTGCGGCGCTCTCTCCCACGTATCACAACCGGCTCGACCTGGTCGCCGTGAATGGTAGGGACCGAGACGGTCGACGGCTTGACCACCGCTCAACCAAACACAGGACACGTGAAACGACAGTACATACGGGCCCTATGCCGGCACGGTTGGTTCGGAGACCGGGGATCTCGTTATCGACGGCAAGACCATCCGCATGTTTCAGGAATCCGAACCGGCTAATATTCCGTGGTCCGAGATGGGCGTGGATCGTGGTGGAATGCACGGGACGGTTTACCGACGCAGCGAAAGCCGCGGCGCACATTGACAGCGGCGGCGCTGGCAAAGTGATCATCTCGGCGCCAGCCCGGGGAGCCGACGCTACGATCGTTTTGGGCGTGAACGACGAGGTTTACAAGGGCGACGAACATCGCATCATATCCAATGCGTCTTGTACTACCAACTGCTTCGCCCCCATGGTCAAGGTGCTTCATGACGCTTTCGGGGTGGAGCGCGGATTGATGTCGACCATTCACGCCTACACTAACGACCAGAGCATCCTGGACCGGAATCACCGCGACTTGAGGCGTGCCCGAGCGGACAGCCAGCGACCAAAAGATTATCCCGCACCAGTACGGAGACGGCGCGCGTATCGGTGGCGATGGTGTCAGCCGAGACTGAAGGCAACTGCACCACGGCATCGCCTATCGCATCCCGACGACTCGTGAGGGCTCGTGACTGACTTGTGTCGCGACGTGAAGCAGCGGGTAACACAAGGGCTGAGGTATAGACGCATTCAGGCTCAGCAGCATCCGGCTCAATGAAGGGGATTTTGGATTATACCGAAGACCCAATTGTCAGTTCCGATATTCGAGGGAACACACATAGCTGTATCTTGGACGGGTTGAGCACCATGGTTTTGGACGGCAGCATGGTCAAGATCATGGGTTGGTATGACAACGAGTGGGGCTATTCCTGCCGCACTGCTGACCTGTGCTGCGTGGTTGGCGGCGAGGGCGGCTAACCGCATTGCATCCGCTGCTGGTCCGTGCTCTGGCCCCCCTGCGATTGCTGTGGGGGCCGAATTTACTATTGCCGGCGCTGTTGCTGGTCGCGCTGGGGCTGCGGCTCTACGGGATTGACTGGGACGCCGGCCACGGGTTCCATCCCGACGAGCGGTCGTTTTATCTGCGGGCCGATGACATGTTCAGGACGTTGGCGGTTGCGCCCGGCCACGAGCGATGGCTGGCGCAGTGGCCGGAGATGGAAGCCGGGATACCGACCCTGGCTACGTTTTTCGACGCGGAACGCAGCCCTCTGAACCCACACTGGTTCCCGTTGGGCAGCGTCCTCATTTATATCCTGGTGCTGATTCGATCTGTTGCCGAGCTGTTTACCGACTGGGGCGCAATGGATATGCGGTTCGCCGGTCGTACGCTGGCCGCCCTGGCTGATGTGGGTTCCGTGGCGATGATGTACGTCATCGGCCGCAGGATGTATGGGCGTTGGACCGGGTTGCTGGCAGCCGCGTTGACCACGTTCGCGGTGATTCACATCCAGCACGCCCATTTCTACCGTCCCGAGCCGTTCACGGTGTTGACGTCCTTGGGAGCGTTGTGGGCGATGCTGCGCCTGGTGGACGGAGGGAGGTATCGGGATGCGTTGCTGTTGGGGGCATTGGTGGGTTTGGCGATGGCGCCAAAAATATCGGTGGCTCCCATACTGGCGCCGTTGGCGTTGTCCTTTTTGTGGGTGGCAAAAGACCGAGCCGGTGGTCGATGGTCGGATTTGACCTTCGTGGCGTCGGTTCGCGTAATTCCGATGATGTTGCTCAGTGCGGCGGCGGCTTTGGTAGTTTTTTTGGTTTTTTTGATCACAACACCGTACGCCCTGCTGGATTTGAGCACTTCGCCGGCGACATCAAACAGCAAACGGCAATGGCCAGGGATGCATGGATATTTCCATTCGCCCGGCAATACATCGGCGCTGAGGCATTCTGGTACCAAATCCGACAGGTGGCGGTTTGGGGTGTTGGATTGCCGCTGGGGGCCTTCGTATGGCTGGCGGCGCCGTTCACGGCCTGGCTGGTGTGGCGCCACGCTGCCCGTAGAGTACCCGAGAACCGTGAAGGCGAAGCGAAGCTAGAGAGCCAACTGTTCGAGCCCCGACATGAGAAGAGCCTGTGCTGTTGGCCTGGGCGGTGCCCGCGTTCGTATTCCTGGAACTGTTCGAGGTGAAATTCCTTCGTTACGTGTTTCCGCTGGTACCATTCTATCTGCTGATGACGGCGCGGATGTTTACCGTGGCGGTATGCTGGGCATGGAACCTCCGGAAATCAGGGTTCAGGGAACCGGATGAACCGCCTGGCGACGCACCGTTTTCGGAAGAATGGCATGCGTCTCCGCCCACCGTGGGCGATGACTTCCTGTTTGACGATCCCCTGGTGGGGGATGCTCCGTTTTCGGAAGAATGGCACGCTACACCGCCGGTAGCCGGGACGGTGTGGGCCGCATCGGAGCCTGCCGATATTCACAAAGCTGCAAAACACCCCCAAAACCAAAACCACACAAAAAAAAAAAAACCACCAAAAAAAAAACAAACAAAACAAAAAAAAAACAAAAACAAAACACAAAAAAAAAACAACAAAACAAAAAAAACAAAAAAAAACAAAAAAACAAAAAACCAAAAAAAAACACAACAAACCAAAAAAACAAAAAACAAAAAAAAAAAAAAAACCAAAAACAAAAAACAAAAAAACACACCAACCCAACACAAAAAACACACAAAACGTTCGACCGGGTTGGGCCGGGGGATTGAACGGTGGGCCTTTCCTGGGATCATCGCGCTGGTGGTTGTATTGCTGGCAGGCGCGGTGCTGTATGCGGTTGCTTTCGCCGGGATCTATTCCCGCCCTCACACCGCGGTGGTTGCATCTGAGTGGATCAACGCCAACGTAGCGCCGGGTTCTTCCATAGTCAACGGCGGGTCGTTCTGGGACGAGCGTATTCCGGATTTGGGTCGGTACGATGTGTGGACGTTTCCCGCTTACCATCCCGACGGCGACCCGGGAAAAATCCCTGAACTTGCCCAGCGTCTGTCTGCCGCCGACTACCTGATCTTCTATTCCAACCGGGCGTTTGGCTCGATTACACGGTTGCCCGACCGGTACCCGCAAAGCGCGGCTTTCTATCAGCAGCTGTTCGTCGGCGATCTGGGTTATCGATTGGAGCAGGAGTTTGTGTCCTTCCCCAGGATCGCGGGAGTATCGCTGCAGGATGATCCGTACGACCGGGCCGGTTTGCCGGCTCCCCGGCAATCCTCTTCCAATGCGGACTGGAGACAGCCGGGCGGGCTGTACCTGAATCTCGGATACGCCGACGAAAACGTTGTTGGATATGACCATCCTCAAACCCTGATTTTCCGGAACGTGGGCCGGTTATCGGATACGGCGATTCTTGAAGTGATCGAATCCGGGGTTTTGGGTACCGATAGCGCCGCGCCGCTGATGTTGTCCGAAGAAGCTGTTCAAATCCAGCGAACCGGTGGGGGATGGTCGGAGGTATTCGACCGGGGAGGATGGCCGGCGAGAGTGCCGGGTTTGGCATGGTTGTTGGTCGTTGAGCTGATCTGCCTGGCGGCTTTTCGGTTCACCTGGTGGCTGATGCGACCATTGCCGGATCGGGGAATTTTGTTCGCCAGGGTCCTTGGACTGCTTCTCGTGGCGTGGGTCGCCTGGATGTTGGTGAGCCTCGGGGTAATTCAGTACTCAGCGGGAACGGTTTGGTTGGCGTTGTGCATCGCGGCCATCCCATCAGCGCTGGTGTTGTGGCGGCAGTGGCAACCGATGTTGGACTGGGTTCGGCAGAACTGGCGATTGGTGGTTACGGCGGAAGCCCTGTTCCTGCTGGCTTACGTCGGGTTCCTGATGATTCGTGCCGCGAATCCAGATTTGTGGCATCCGTGGCGGGGCGGCGAGAAACCCATGGAGCTGGCGTACTTCACGGCGGTAACGCGATCCGTGGCGCTGCCGCCCTACGATCCGTGGTTCGCGGGTGGTTATCTCAATTATTACTATTGGGGCTATTTCATTCTTTCGGCGCCGGTGAGGTTAACGGGCATACCGCCGGCTACGGCGTTCAACCTGGCCGTCCCGCTGCTGTTCGCGCTGACGGCAACCGGGGTTGGTTCCCTGGTGTACAACCTGGTTGCATCCGCCCGCGGCCGGCCAGATGCGAACCGCCCCCAAACGGATCATTCGGGCAGGAGGCGCTGGTGGATCTGGATTCCCGGTGGTGGGGCCGCGCTGGCCGGGTGCGCTGCTGCCGCTATGGCGACGATCGCGGGCAATTTGGACGGTGCGGTGCAGCTGATTCAGTTAGCGCAGGCCAGGCTTCAGGGTGGGGCGGCGGCCCTGTCCAATTTCGATTTTTGGCGCAGCAGCAGGGCGATCCCGGTTCTTGACGAATTCGAGCCATCGAAATTGACCCCCTGGATCGAACGACGTGACTGGATGGAATCCGGGTTTCACATCACCGAATTCCCGTTTTTCACGTTTCTGTTTGCGGATCTGCATGCTCACATGATGACGATGCCCTTTGCCGTGTTGGCGCTGGCGTTGGGGCTGAGTTTGTTACTTGGACTGGCAACGCGCCGGGTGTGGCGCGGCTATTGGCCGTGGATTGTTGCTGTAATATTCGGGCTGGCAGTGGGGAGTTTGTGGGCGATCAACTCGTGGGAGTTTCCGGCCTACGCGCTGTTGATGGTGGGAGTTTGCGCCGGCGCCTCCTGGATGTCGCCCGGCTCCGTCAAGGCGAGGCTTCTCGCCGGTGGTGGTCTGGCAATGGTGGCGTTGCTGGTCAGTTATGCCGCGTTCTGGCCGTTTCATGCGTCTACGGAAACGTTTGGCACAGGGATCGAACTGACGCGATGGCGCACGCCGATCACAAACTATCTGTTGATTCACGGGTTACTGTTGCTCGGAGCGTTGGGTCTGCTCGTGGTTACATTGCCGGCGGCGTTTTCGCCGCTGGTGCCGGCCGTACGAACCCGATCCGGGCTATTGGCGCAACGGCAGTGGACGCTGGCGGGCGTGGTCCTGGGGATGATCCTGGCGATCTATTTGTGGGCGGCCGGTTACGTTACGGCTGGCTTTCTGACAGTATTGGTTTCCCTAACGGCCTGGGCGCTAGTGGACAGAATCGCCTCGCGGGATGCCGTGAATCGGCGGCCTGACACGATGGCGCTGGCAATATTGGCCCTGGCGTTGGCCGTAGGCATCGGAGTTGAACTGGTCAGGGTCGAGGGCGACATTGCGCGGATGAACACCGTGTTCAAGTATTATCTGGTTGCCTGGCTGTTGTTCTCCATCGTAGCCGGTTACGGGTTTTGGAGATGGTGGCAAACCACCGGGGAATATGCCCTGGCAGTCAGGAGAGGGTCGAGAATCGCTGGAGCCGGCCTGGTCGCGCTGGTAACGACTGGGGTGCTGGTTTATCCCGTGTTGGCGACCCCGGTGAGGCTCGACGACCGGTTTGGAGACACACCATACACGCTGGACGGGGCAGCCTGGATGACAACCGCGGTTCACTGGGAACGGGATGTTCCGATTGAGCTGGGTTGGGATGCTGAAGCCATCCGGTGGATGCAGGACAACGTGGCAGGCACGCCGGTGGTGTTGGAAGCCCACGGAGATCAGTACCGGTGGAACGGGAGGTTCTCAGCGTACACGGGTTTGCCAACGGTGTTGGGATGGCCGTGGCACCAGGTTCAGCAGCGCAACGATTGGGATGGGGTGCGGGAGCGGGCCCGGGATGTGGAAACGATATACGACAGCGTCCACGGGCCGGTGGTGCTCCAATTGCTGGAAAAGTATGCCGTAGCGTATATTGTTGTGGGCGATTTGGAACGTATCTATTATGATTCAGACGGCATCAATAAATTCGAACGGATGGCCTCCAGGGGCGAAATAAACCTGGTATTCGAAAATAAAGGGACCCTAATATACAAAGTGATGGATCGGTAGATTTGATGAGTTATGAGTTGGTGCAATTGATCAGAGACATTGCCATCATAGTGATGGCGGTGACGGTGGCGCTGGCTGCGCTGGTTTCGATGATCGTCCTTTTGAAAACCTATCCGGCGCTGCGCCGAGGGACGCAGAACTTCATGGCGGCCTCGGAGATGATGTTGGGTACGGCAAACCGAATTTCGGGTTTGGTGAGTATGGGCAGCGAGCTAGCCACGCTGGTCTGGGGGATCGTGGACCGCATTCGCAACCGCAACTCCGGGGACTCGGACGAGGAACGCCAGCCGTAATTCCGCCTTACTGTTCGGCAGGAGATCCGTGCCCCAATCGCAGGCGTTGGCGCCATCGTCCCGTTGGCGTACTTTGACCGGGTGTGGTGGTTGCCATATAATCGATTTTGCAGCGCCGTGGTTGATAATTTCGTCGGCGCCGGAGGTAGCACCTTGGCCATCGAATCCGTCCGAGTCGGCTTGATTGGAGCCGGACGCAATACCCGTGACAGGCATATTCCCGGTTTCCAGACCGTTCCCGGTGTCGAAATAGGCGCGGTTGCCAACCGCAGTCGGGAGTCGGGCCAACGCGTCGCCGACGCGTTCAATATTCCGACAGTGTACGACGATTGGGAGGAACTGCTGGAGGACGAAAGCCTGGATGTAGTCTGCATTGGTACGTGGCCATACATGCACCGAACGCTGACTTTGGCGTCGCTGGCCGCTGGGAAGCACGTCCTTTGTGAAGCTCGCATGGCGATGAGCGCGGGAGAGGCACACGAGATGTTGTCTTACTCCCAGTCCATCCCCGGGCTGGTTGCCCAGATAGTGCCTTCTCCGATGACATTCGGTATCGATGACGCGCTGATCCGCCTGATATCCGACGGGTTCCTGGGCGATCTGGTGTCCGTGGACGTACAGTCGCTATCGGGATTTGCAGACCCGGAAGCCCCGATGCACTGGCGCCAGGACCGGGATTTGAGCGGGTTCAATATCCTGAATATGGGCATCTGGTACGAAGCGATGATCCGGTGGGTGGGGCGAGCAACTGACGTGATTGCGATGACCAAGATCACTGTTCCCCATCGAAAAGATGATGATGGCAACTGGCGCTCGGTGACTATTCCCGACACGGTGGACATTCTGGCCAGGTTGGCGAACGGGGCCAACGCCCACTTGCGGTTCAGCGCGTGCGCTGGGCTAGCGCCCGGCAATTCCATCAGTCTGTACGGCACCGACGGTACGATCCATGTGGACAACCAATGGCGCATTTTCGGCGGCAGGCGGGGAGATTCTGAATTACAGGAAATCGCCAATCCTCCGGAACAACGATACTCCTGGTCGGTGGAGCAGGAGTTCATCGCTTCGGTGCGCGATGCGGCGCCGGTGATGCGGACGCCGTTCAACATAGGCGTGCACTACATGGAGTTTACCGAAGCGGTGACGGTGAGCGCCCAATCCGGCGAGTCGGTTGCACTACCCATGTAACCGGTTGCCTCACAATTGCGCCGCAAGTGCGCTGCGAATCAATAAAGGGGTCGATCTGCACACCCGTGCAAATCGACCCTTTTGCAACGGCATCCGCCGGTGTTCGAATCTAACGGTCAACCAGGCAGGCGATCACCTGCGGCGCGGCAACGGCGGCGCGTTCCGACAACTCCGCATCATTGAGGGTTACGATTGGGTGATCTATGATCGCCAGCCCGTAATCCGGATCGCCCCGCATTCGGGACATGGCGTGGGCCTGGCTGACGAACGGTTTGGTGGTAAGTACGGTGGAGGGGATGCCCAGCAACTCGGTTTCGATTGCGTCGTGCACACTGCACGCGGTGCAGGACCCTCATTCCGCTGTGGCGTGGATTGCCACGTCGATGCTGGATGCGGTGCGCTGGAGATCTTCGATGCGGGCCGGCCATTGCCAACCGCCCTTGTTGAACTCTACCGTGCCGGCGATGTCATACCGCTCGCCAAGGATGGCGGCAATGCGTCGCAACAATTCCTCGGAATGGGGTTTGTTGTTGGCGAACAAGCCGATCACTTTGCCTTCCAGCGTGGCCGGTCGTTGCGCCAACCGCGACGGGCCAGTGGCAAGGTCGTCTCTGGGATCCAGTACGCTGATTGGATTATTTTGTGTCGCCATGGCGTGCGCTCCATTTTCGTCGTGTCGATTGGGGTCTAACTTTTCGGCGGTTCGTGGGGTCAGATTCGTCGCCGGCACGAGATTCGATCAGCCTGGGATGATGGTGTTCCTAGTGATTGGGCACAGTTACCTGGCGCGAAACGGAACGGCTGCTGCCCCATGTGTTGATTAGGCTGATAAACGCGCCGGCCATCCCACCGCCGGGCAGGACTGTGATTCGGTCAGCGTCGGCAACCACGGGGATCAATTGCTCGGGGTCCGCGGCGTTTTCCAACCGCCTCCAGCGCAGCCACTCCGCGGCCGGCAGGTGGGTGTTTTGGTGCAGGAATTCGGCCACCTGTTGCCGGGACCATCCGGCCTCGTCGATATGCAGCATCGACTCGGGGCTGATGACGCAGATGACTTCTGTTGAATTGGGACCGAAGGCCAGCATGGCGTGGGCGACGGTGGTGAGGAAATCCGCCGGGTCGCGATCTCCGTGGAGGGTAACCTGCAACGGGGCTAAGGTCGCATACGCAGTGACTATAGTGGCATCGTCGCCGTAGCCCTTGTCGGCGGCCAACGACTGCCAGGGACTCACCGCCAGATTCTCAGGGAAACAGAAACCAATCTTTCCGGGGTGGCCGAAGGTGCTGTTGTCCATCACGATAGGGACGGAACCGTAGAAATTGCCTTTGAACAGGTTGACCGCACGACCGATGGATGCGTTGGCTCGGTTGCATGCAAATCATGCCACGCCGGCGTCATGCGCTGGCCTCGCGTTAGGGTCCGCTCACCACCGTGAGGACGGTTGCTCCGTTGTTTTGGTTGTGGTGCTGCTGGCATGCAGGTTGAATGTGCGTTCTGAGATAGCCGATATGGATGCCAATACAATCGGAAAGTGTTCGGGCTGGCAACCCGCCATGACGGCGTTTACCGCGGCCTTGCCGGCGGTGAACCGTTTTTGGCGTATGACCTCGGTGCCGAGGGAGTGGTTTGATTCGACGCCAGCGAAATCCAGCATTTCCTGGACTCTTTCCGGGGTGGGCGGCACACGGGAGGCCTTTGCTTTTTGTCCAGTCGGTCATGCCGTTGGCGTAAAAATATTCTTGTGCGGCGTGCCAGCTGGGAAACTGCATCGATTCTGAGTCGGCGGGTTGTGTTGTCATAATCGTTTGCTATTCCTGACCCACGGCAAGCTGGTTACCGTTGGGTTCGATTGTATTTGTCACAGATTTATGGCGGCCTTTAGTTGGAGCGGTAATCGGCTCGCCTGGTTCAACCACGGGGGCGCGTCATTATATCCTACCTACTGTCGGTACAAACCGATGAAATTGCCCTCTGAGTCCAGTGAAGCCTGCAGGTCCTCGACTTGTACGTGGAAGGTGATGCGAGCGACAGGAGGGTCACTCATAGCGGGGCTGATCCCGCCACCCAAACCTCCCTCGCGGTGCTGCACCAGGCCGTAATTCCATTCGTTTTCGGCGTTGATATTCCAACCAAACAGGCTGGCGTAGAACTGATGCTGAGCCCTGGCGTCGGCACAATGGATTTCGAAATGTACTACAGGGTTCGGCACAGTGTTGGTCGTCCTTACGCCTGGCGCGTTACCCACCGGAGCGCGGTTCCGAGGCATTGCTATTCGGATCTGGGCGGAATCGTAGCCTACGCGTCAGGGCTGCATGAATTTCTCCCTGCCACCAGGTGCGGAAGGCGGGGAGATTCCATGACATGGGTTGAGGCGGTATGAATCGTGTTATTGACTGTCGGTCTGGAGTTTGCCGCCGCGGTAGTCAGGCACTTCGATTGGTAATTCCATTACGACAGAACGGTCGCTCAGGCGTGAAGCGATGCGGGGTCGGAAGGTTGCGATGTCGTCGTGGTCATGGGACGAGGTTATTATGGTGGCAAGGCGACTTTCGTATCGATAATTGATGATCTGAAATAGTTTGTCTTCGGCGAAAGGCGTGCTCCGCTCGGCTCCCATGTCGTCGAGCACCAGCAGGTCCACCGTTTTTATCCGGTCGAGCAAGTCGTCATAGGCTACGTTACTGTCAGGCGCGAAGGTTGCTCGTAGGTAATCCAGCAGATCCGGGACGGTGGCGAAAAATATTTCGTCACCCCGGCGCTCCCGTTCGGCGGCTGCGGCCACGGCAAGATGGGTTTTTCCGACCCCGATGGGACCGAAGATGAATAACCAGGCGTGGGGGTCCACCGACCAATGGTCGACGACATTTTTGGTGTAGGTGAGGCTCCGGATCTGATCAGGCGTTAGTTGACTGTTTCCGCGGGGGTCGAAGTTGTCGAAGGTCATGCGGTGCAGCATTTCCGGCGGGATGGCGCCCAACACCCGGCTGCCTCCCCCGATGCGTCCCAGCGCATGAAGCTTGGCGAATCCATCCGGGGAATCGAGGCGCGTCCGCAAGAATTCGTCAAGGCGAGCCGGGTCGCCTCGCAAGGTGACGACCGTGGGCAACCGCGCTGAGTGCCGATAAGCGAGTAGCTGGAATAAACGGTCCTGGCCCCAGGTCGTGGGAGACTGGGTGGGCAGATCGTCCAGTACCAGCAAGTCCACATTGCGAACCAGCTCAAAGCGGTCGGCGAAGTTGGATTCGTCGTCGTCGAACTGGCTCCGCAAATAGTCGAGCAAATCGGCGGCGGTGATGAAATACACCACGTTTCCCAGTTCGATTTGGCGGTTGGCAATGGCGGCGGCCAGATAGGTTTTGCCGCTGGCGCTGGGACCGGCGAAGGTGATCCAGCCAGCTGGGTATTCGGCAAACCGCGTAGCCGCCGAAAGCGCGGCGGCATAGGCCTGGTGAGTCCCCGGGAAATGGTCCGGTCCCTGGGGATTCGCCGCCTCCAACGTGCAGTGGCGCAGTGCGCCCAGGTTACTGAATCGCTCCAGCGCGGCGAGGCGGGCGGGTTGGTCGGCGTCGGAAAACTGGCAATCGCAGGGGAATGCCCGACCAAAATCGGGGTGTTCTACCGGCAGGCGACGGGTTAACCACCCGATCCCGCCGCACGAGAGGCAACTATTGGTCGCCTTCGACGAATCTTCGTCCTTCCTCGGTTTCCCAGGGAAGAGTTCCGAATCGCCGTCGGTAGGCATCGAGGTACCCGGTGCGGCGATCCGGCGCAGAATTGAGTCCAGGCTTTCCATGCTCATTGTGTGGTTGTCGCTGTCGGCCATCCGGTGAGTTCACGGTGTCCGGGCGCCCTTCGGTGAGCCACCGTCGCAGGATTTGCTCCACGTAGGCCCAGTTCCTGGCGTCGTTTTTGGCGGCCTCACCAATGGCATCCGCTATCCAATTATATGGGAATTCTTCCTCGGCCGCCGCCAGGGTGGCACCGGTCCTGGGAGTGAGGGTTCCGATGTGTTCTTCGTACAACGCCACCATGTTAGCACGTTGCGCGAGCCGGGAATCGGGGATGCCCGTTCGGTTGGACGCCGCTGAATCTATTGGACCCAATGCGGACGCTGGATCGAGTACGGTGATGGAAGAGTCTTGAAAATAGCGGCGACTATAATCGTCGTTCAGGAATATTCGCACTTCGTGGGCGGGTTTGGCCGCAACGAAGATTCCGCGCCGCAGCGCCGCTGCCAATGGGCGCAGGATTTGGAAATCGTCTGCGGCAGACACGCCGGTTGAATTCGGATTGCTGTGTTGCAGAACGGCGTCCTCGTGGAGGTCTTCCAACCCCAGCGATGGGGGTATGCCGCCACGCGCCCGGCGTTGTGCCAGCAGGGCCGTGCCCCTGAGAATGAGCTTCAACTCGTGGATATCGTCGATTTCGGCCAGCAATCCACCAAAAATTGCCGCTGGCATCGTTATTCGACGAGCGTCAGCCGGGATTGCGCCTTCCCCGACGGGCGTGGTCATTTAGGCGATGAACTCCTGATATTGCGCGATCTGGTCGAAGCGCATGAGGGAGTCGCGGAAATACAGATGGAGGCTGCCGGTCGGACCGTGGCGGTGCTTCGAGATGATCAACTCAGCGATGTTCCGGGGGTAAGGCCGTCCGGGGGAGTGCTGTTCCCATTCTTCTTCAGTGAAGTGCTTGTCTTCCCGGTAGAGGAACATCACCACGTCGGCGTCCTGTTCGATGCTGCCGCTGTCGCGGAGGTCTGAAAGTTGTGGTCGATGGCCGGGGCGGTTTTCCACCACGCGGCTGAGCTGAGAGCAGGTGAACACGGGGACGTTCAGGTCGCGCGCCATGCCTTTCAACGAACGGGATATCTCGCTGATTTCCTGTACCCGGTTCTCGCTGTACCCGCGACGGCGGCTCGAACCCTGAATCAATTGCAGGTAGTCCACAACCAGGAAATCGAGCCCATGCTCAAGTTTCAGGCGCTGCGCCTTGCTGCGCATTTCAAGAACCGATTGGAATGGGGTGTCGTCGACGAAGATTGGTAACCCGGACAAAACGCCAATCGCGTCAACGATTGCGTCTTCTTCTTGCTGGGTATACAAACGTAATCGGAGGCGGTGAGAGTCCACCCCGGAATCGGATGCGAGGATGCGCATGGCCACCTGTTCGCGGCTCATTTCCAGGCTGAAGATACCGCAGACCGCACCGTTTTTGGCCGCGTTGATGCACACGTTGAGGGCCAGACTGCTCTTGCCCAGACTGGGGCGGGCGCCCAGTATCACCAGGTCAGATCGCTGCCAACCGCCCAACAGACTGTCCAGGTCTCCATAGCCGCTGAGCAACGGCCCCTGCTCCGTCAAGCTGTCGTCGGCGACGTCACCCTGCAAGTATGGGTCAAAGAAGGGACTGAGGCGGACGAAACCATTATCAGAATTCGCTGGCTGGACTTCGAACAGAACGTCCACGGCGCGTTGGATGGTTTCCTCGGCGTCGAGGTTGTCCTCAAAACCCAATTCGGCGATGCGATTACCGGCTTCTATGACGCGGCGCTTGACCGCGGTGTCGGCGACGATGCCGGCGTAGTACTCGACGTTAACCGAGGTGGGAGTGATGGAGATGAGCTGTCCGAGATAGGTGGGCCCACCCACCTGTTCCAGCTGGTTGGCACGGTCCAATTCCCTGGCTACGGTTATGGGGTCGATAGCCTCCTGCTGACTGAACAGCTTCAGGCACGCTTCAAAACAAAACCGGTGGTGGGCCCGGTGGAAATCCTCGGGTTTGATAATGGGCATGACCCGGAGGAGGGCCTGACCGTCGATTAACAGGCCGCCCAAAACAGCCGCTTCGGCATCGTGGTCGTACGGCAGCTGGCGTTCGCTGTATTGGGCGACGACCACGGCCGATTACTCCTCGATAGTCGCGACTACGTTAATGGTGGCAGTGATTTCACTGGACAGGGGTATGGCGATTTCGTACTCGCCGGGTTCCCGGATCGGTTCAACCGAGTTGGCAATTCTACGGTCGATCTCCCGTCCCAGCGTCTCACCCAACGCTTCGGTTATTCGCACGCCGCTGATGGCTCCGTAGTATCGGCCCGTTGGGGTGACGCGACCGGCAATCGTGAGAGTGAGGTTATCCAACGCCTCGGCCAACTCTTCCATCACATGCGTTTCCCGGGCGCGCTGAGTGTTTCCTTCGTTCCTGATTTTCTCCAGGCGCTTCAGGGTTTCGTCGGTGGCAATCTCCGCGAGTCCTTTGGGCAGCAGGTAGTTGCGTGCGTACCCTCTCGATACGCGTTTGATCTCTCCGGCGCGGGCCTGGTCAGGCACGTCCTTTATAAACAACATCATCATGATGGCAAACTCTCCAATTGTCGGACCACCGGTTAGTTAGGAACCTTGCCGAAGCGCATCGATTCAACGGTGTGGCGACTGGCGCGCCGGGGACCCGGATAACAGTATTAGGTGCAACATTATAAACTAAACGCCTGTTGCGGCGAAGAGCGCAACCGTCTCACGTTCACGGGTGAGCGGGCATTGACTCGGCAGCGACATGTGCATACCCTTTCCAACCATATCAAGACGGGCCAAGCCCGGGAATCGATTCCGTGGGTACATGACCCGGTTGAGCGCGCGGAGGAACCATGTCGTTTTGCGAAGAAATAGAAAATGAATCTGCCCTGCAGCGGGAAGCGATGGCAAACCATCCCTTCGTGCGGGGGATCGGAGATGGAACCCTTCCCTTGGACCGATTCCGTCACTTCATCACACAGGATTACGTTTATGTGGTGGATTTCGCCCGGTGCCTGGCCCTCGGCGTGGCGAAGGCTCCGGATCTGGAAACGATGGGCTGGTTCGCCCGGGCCGTGGATTACATCCTGAACACCGAGATGGACCTCCATCGATCGTACTGCGCGGGATTCGGCATCACCGAAGCGGATCTTGATGCCACGAAACACGCGCCAACGACGTACTCGTACACGAGCTACCTGTTGCGGGTGGCCCATCAGGGGAGCTTCGGCGAATTGGTGGCATCGCTCTTGCCGTGCATTTGGGGATATTGGCAGGTGGGAAAGCGGCTGGCTGACCAGGGAGAGCCCGAAAATGCCCCGGGCTACGCCAAATGGATCCGCATGTACGCTGCGTCCGAGTTTCAGGCGGTGGCGGAAGAAGCCCGCAGCATTTGCGACCGGGTGGCGAGTACTGCCGGACCAGCAGAAATAGCGGCGATGAAAGAAGCCTACATCACCTGCACGCGGTATGAGCAGGCATTTTGGGAGATGGGTTGGACGTTGCAGGACTGGCCAGTCTGACAAGGATTGGGCAACGTGGTCGGGGTGGGCAGATTCGAACTGCCGATCTCCTGCTCCCAAAGCAGGCGCCTTGCCGCTAGGCCACACCCCGCTGCCCGGTTGCCCTGACACCCGACGCATATTGCGGTCGGTTATTACCGATTGTTGTCGCAAGTACCCCCGCGGAGATTCGAACTCCGGTCTCTGGCTCCGGAGGCCAGCACTCTATCCACTGAGCTACGGGGGCAATTCCAATCGTATCATACGAGGCCGAGGGCAACCAGACTTGCGCCTGGCGTGAGCTCAATTCTCCAAACCACCGGACACGAAAATTCTGGATAACCCGTCGATGACACACCAGGAGGCGGTCAGCTGTCGCCGCCTTCAGGGGTTGGCGTTATTGTCCATCCGGGGTCGACACTGTCTTGAACGCAACAACGTGGTCCGCATGATGGCGGGCAGAGAGTCCATCCCGCGCACCGCGCCATGATCGACACGGGCTGTTGCGAGTGCGACTCGGTAGATCTGACTACCAATCTTCACACGACCGGGGTGGCTGCCGGTATCCATTCGGGAAACACGACAGGCGATGAGGGATCACGCCGTTTGTCAGCCGGGGGATCGGCTATCCGGTCGCACACAACGGCTGCAACGTGCCCGGGATTGAATTGATTGCGGCCGACACGGGCAGGTACAGGAGAAATCGGTTGGCAACGCCCCGCCACCTAATCCACGACATCCAGTGGAACTGACACTTGGTGGGGCGAAAAAATGGCGACCCGGATCGGATTCGAACCGACGATCTCTGCCTTGACAGGGCAGTGTGTTAACCGCTACACCACCGGGCCCAAACGACACGCAACGGAAGATTGCGTAATGATTATTGTATTAGCGACCCACGAATCCTGTCAATTGCAGGAAGTTGGCCGGGCAGGTGATACGCCGGTTTTCAAGGCGCCATCAACTCATGTATAGTTTTGTGTACCCGCAGAGCACCATCAACCGAGCCTGGAGACACTGAATGACCACTCCCGCAGATTCGACAATCCAACCGCAACCGTTGCCCCTCAAGGGAGTACGCGTGCTGGACGCTACACACATTGTGGCAGGGCCTTACTGTTCCATGATATTGGCGGATATGGGCGCCGAGGTCATCAAGATCGAACGTCCCGGCGTGGGCGATCGGGCTCGGGCAAACGACCCGTACATCGACGGCCCGGACGGGACGCAGGTGAGCGCCCGTTACCTGGGCGTTAACCGCAACAAAAAAAGCGTGGCTCTGGATTTAAGGGACCCGGTCGCCAAGCGCGCGTTCATCAATATGCTGCGTGTTTCGGATGTATTGCTGGATAATTGGGGCCCCGGCGCCATGGAAAGGCTGGGTTTCGGATACCCGGCGCTGGCGGAGATCAACCCGGGGTTGGTGTATGCCAGTATCACCGGATACGGCGACAGCGACGGCTTACGGGGTCCGTATTCCAACTGGCCGGCCAATAACCCTTGCGTTCAGGGAATGGGTGGCTGGATGGCAATGACCGGAGCGCCGGAAAGCGGCCCGCAGATGGTGGGCGACAACGTGGGAGATTCAGTACCGGGGCTTTGGACAGCGCTGGGCGTTTTGCTGGCCCTGGAATCCCGTCGCAAAACCGGCAAGGGTCAGCACGTGGATATGTCGATGTATGATTGCATGGTGGCCCATACCACCAGCAGCATGCCCCTATATCAGGCTACTGGACAGACCACGACGACGGCGCGGGAGAACATGTTTTCAGCCCAACTCGCGCTGCGGGCATCAGATGGATACGTAGTGTTGGCAGGGGCCGGCGACGCCGACGACAAATGGCGGGCGTTGTGGGCATTGGCCGGTCGACCCGAGTTGGCGGACGACCCCCGTTTCCTGGGACGCGGAGTAACCGGGCCGTTTTATTTCAGCCACATCGTGCCAGCGATCGAAGAATGGTCGGTGCACCTGCCCAAGCGCGAATTGAATCAGAAACTGCTTGAATGTGGGTTCTCGATGGGAATCGTGCAGGACACCGAGGATTTGGACCGGTGCGAGCATCTGGAGGTTCGCAACATGTTCGTGGACAGTGGCGATACGTATGGCCGACCCTTCCGGACCGTGAATACGCCGGTACAATTGACCGGGTGCGAAAACACTCCAACCAACCCACCGCCGCGGTTGGGTCAGCACAACCGGGAAGTGCTATGCGATATCGGCGGCTTGACTGCGGAAGAGCTGAACGAACTTCAGTCGACCGGCAAGGCCTGAATCCACCCGGCCTGACAAATCGGTCGGATATTTTCCAGCGACTTTCAATCGATTAACGCCAGCCTGAATATACGCGACACAACCGATAGAGCGGATTGACTATCATGCCCACGTTTCAAGCCCCACGCGGCACCGCTGACCGCCTCCCGGCAGAGCAGAAATACTGGCGGTACTTAGAAGACAAGGCCGTCAGTGTGGCGCGCCGTTTTGGTTACGGTCGGATTGACAGTCCCATGTTCGAGGACGCCAGGCTGTTCGTTCGGGGCATTGGTGAAGGCACCGATATTGTTGAAAAAGAGATGTACGTGTTTGAGGACCGCGGCGGTGACTTGGTGACGCTGCGGGCCGAGGGCACCGCGCCCGTCTGCCGCGCGTACCTTCAGCACGGGATGCACAATCAAACGCAGCCGGTTCGAATGTATTACCTGTGCCCGGTGTTCAGATACGAACGCCCCCAGGCCGGCCGTTTTCGGCAGCACCATCAGTTTGGCGTCGAAGCCATCGGTGACGGCGATCCGTCCGTCGATGCGGAGGTCATCGAGGTGGCGTGGACATTTGTTCACGACATTGGCCTGTCCGACGTGACGTTGGTGACCAACAGCATCGGCGACGAGCAGTGCCGCCCACAATACATCGCCGCACTGAAAAACTATTTCGACAACATGCAGGGGCACCTTTGCCAGGATTGCCGAACGCGCCTGGAGCGCAATCCCCTGCGGCTGCTGGACTGCAAGGTTGGAACCTGCCGGGCGCTGGGTGAAGACGCCCCGAAATCGGTCGAGTGCCTGTGCGCCGATTGCCAGTTACACTGGGATCGGGTGCGAAGTTACCTGGCGGCCAACGGTATCGTGCATCGGGTGGACCATCGGCTGGTTAGAGGGCTGGACTACTACACCCGCACTGTTTTCGAAATACAGCCGGCGATCGAGGGTGCGCAGTCAACGATATGCGGCGGTGGCAGGTACGATGGCTTGATCGAACAACTGGGTGGTCGCCCTACGCCCGGGATCGGTTTCGGCAGTGGGATCGAGCGGCTAACGTTGAACCTGCAGCGGGCCGAAATTTCGGTACCCGACGAACCAGCGCCGCGTTATCTGATCGCTACTATTGGCGATGACGCCAGAGTAGCTGGCGTGCATCTGGCCCACCAGATGCGAAATGCCGGAGTTGGAGCCATATTGGCCAACGGTGGCCGGGCTTTGCGCGGACAGATGCGCCAGGCCAGCGCGCTTGGTGTCGAAATGGTGTTGATTTTGGGCGAGGATGAAGTTCGCGATGGCACGGTGGCGGTGCGGGACATGAACACGTCCAACCAACAGACCCAAAATGTTGGCGAGTTTCTGTCCCAGATCTCCGGTTGACAGCGGGCTGATACGCAGGACGATAGAGGCTGGCCTGCGGGCCAGCCTTTTTGGTTCGTTGGGCTGAGCGCGGGAAAAATCGATGACAGGCCGGCCGTTGACGGTTCAATTGGGAACGATAGAACATATGTACCGCGCCGGATACACAAAACTAAGGCGTGCCAGAGGAACCACAATGCCGCACAACACTGAAAGCGTTTTCAACGTCCGCAACGCGGTAACCACCACCGCAATCCCCGGCCAAGGTCGAAAGATCAGCTACCGGGGCTACATGATCCATGGAGAGATTCCATCAATCAGTTACGTCGTGTATGGTTGGAACAAAACTGGGCAGCTCTCCGAATTGGGCGTCGCCCGGAGTTTCCCGGAATCCATGCAATGGGTGGACGGTCACATCGAGCAGCTGCGGCGTCGGCAACCGATCCTGCCTGATGTGGCGCGGGATGCTGGCGGCGATGACGTTTGGCTTGACGCGGCCTGACGGCGAGCGTTAACAACGGGAGCAATTTCGCACCGGGAAGCGTTGGGGCTGTCGCGTTGCCCACCCGGTTCACCAGGATATCCAGACATGCACGAGTCGCCAATGAGGGCAATCCGGTACCGGCGAGTGGTTGATTTGAGCCATTCGATAAAACCCGGAATGCCCCGGTGGCCCGGAGACCCACCGGTAAGATTTGAAACCGTTGCTACGATTACCGAGGGTGGTTATTTTTTGCGGCGATTTGAGATGGGCGAGCACAGCGGCACCCACATATCATCTCCGGCGACGTTTCGTGCCGGCGCTGCGGGACCACACGATTTGCAACCAGAGCAGCTCGTCGTGCCTGCGGCTGTGGTTGACGTGAGCGTCCGAGCCAGCGAGGATCCGGACTACGTACTGGATAGACGCGATATCGAATCTTGGGAGCAGGAGTGGGGCCGGATTCCTCAGGGAGCGTTGGTATTGCTGCGCACCGGATGGCATCGATATTGGGACGAACCCCACCGGTTCATCAACGTTGACTCTTCCGGAGTTATGCACACACCGGGGTTCGCCCCGAACGCGGCGCGGGATTTGCTGCTGGAACGGGGTGCGTCCGGGTTGGGAACCGATGCGCCGGGAGTTGACGCCGGGGTTGACACCAGTTTTGAGGTCAGCAGGCTGGTCCTGGAACAACACCGTTTGGTGTTGGAATGCCTGAACAATCTGGACCAACTGCCACCTGCCGGTTCCACGATAGTAGTGGGGCGATTGAGTCTGGTAGGCGGCAGCGGTTCCCCGGCTTCAGTGTTGGCTCTGACGCCCTGAAGTCTGTCCGCGACTGATGGCCCCCAGGGCTAAAGGGCCGCGGCGCCGGCTGCGGCGCATTGTTCGTCCTCTTCGCTGGTACCGCCGCCGACACCACACGCTCCAACAACTTCTCCATCGCTGATGATGGGAACGGCGCCCTGTCCGAATATCATCTCGGAACCGGAACGCTGGCGAATGCCGCTGGGCGTGGGTGCCTCGGCGCGGGCTTGCATTGCACCGCTGGGTTGTCCGAACGCGGCTGACGCCACGGCCTTCCCCTGGCAACCATACGCAGAGGCCCAGATTGCTCCGTCCATTCGCTGCAGTCCCAGCAGGCGGCCCCCGGCGTCCACTACTGCGACACTTACTTTGATGTTTAGTTCTTCGGCCTGTGCGATAGCGGCCGCCATGATCCGATTGGTTGCGGCTAAATTCAATGACATTATTTGCCTCCTGAGGTGGCGCGTCTGAAACTCGGTTTAAGCAATCATATTAGGGTGTGCGCCTGCGAGCAAGTCCGGTTCCGACATGTTGAGGTGCTATACTTGATCCGATTTTTGGACACCGGAAGGCATTTATAACGTGTTGACGCGCCGCATTATCCCGTGCCTGGACGTTGACGGCGGGCGGGTAGTCAAGGGGACCAGTTTTGTGAACCTTCGTGATGCCGGCGATCCAGCCGAACTGGCAGCGCAATACGACCGGGAAGGCGGCGACGAGCTGGTGTTTTTGGATATTACCGCCAGCAGCGACTCCCGCGACACTATGGTAGGTGTCGTGCAGCGGGTCTCGGAGCAGGTGTTCATTCCGCTGACCGTGGGCGGTGGCATACGGTCCATCGAAGACGTGCGGCGGATGCTCAACGCCGGAGCCGACAAAGTTTCCATCAATACCGCTGCCATCAACACGCCTGACCTCATAACAGATGGCGCAAACCAATTCGGCAGCCAATGCATCGTGGTGGCGATCGACGCCCGGAGGGTGGTTGAGGGCGAGGAGTATCCGGCGCCTGCCGACGAATCCCTGGTGATCGATGCCAGTTCCGGATGGCAGGTGTTCACCCACGGCGGGCGCAACCCCACCGGGCTGGATGCGGTGAAATGGGCACAACGCGCCGTCGGTTTGGGATCGGGCGAGATTCTGCTGACCAGTATGGACGAAGACGGGCAACTTAACGGTTATGATCTGGAGTTGACTCGGGCGATCTCCAGAGCGGTTCCCGTGCCGGTCATTGCCAGCGGCGGAGCCGGCAACCTGGAGCATCTATATGATGCTTTCACCGGGGGCGAAGCGGATGCGGTATTGGCCGCCAGTATCTTCCATTTCGGCACTTATTCCATTGCGGAGGCGAAGAATTACCTGGCTTCTCGCGATATTCCCATGAGGGTTTGATCCGACATCCACGATAATATTTGCAGGTGATTGGATGACGACGGCTATCACTACGGTCATATTCGACATGTTCAATACCATCGCGCAGGATGGGTCGGATCTCTGGCGGCAGACGTTCGCCGATATTATCCGCGACCAAAGGCTGGACACCACACCGGAGGCTTTGCGGCATGCCTGGGACAACGGGGCAGACAATTTCCGTGATCGTCGTACCGCCCCGGGCGCTGTGTTCATCTCATACCTGGATGGTTGGGCAGAGGCATTCAGCGGAGCTTTTCGAGACCTGGGTGTCCCGGGAGACGGGCGGGCCGCGTCGCAAAAATCCATAGACGACCTGGGCACGCGTGGGCTATGGCCCGACAGTCTGGAAGCCCTGACCCTGATTTCCAGGGATCTGCGCCTGGCGATAATCTCCAACGCCGACGATGCCTATCTGAATCCCGTAGTGGCCCGAATCGGATTGCCCTTTGGGGCGGTGATCTCGTCCGAAGGCGAAGGGTGTTACAAGCCGGATGCGCGACTGTTTGAAGCGGCATGCCGGCAAATGAACGTGGATCCGGGCGAATGCGTATATGTGGGAGATCGCCAGTTTGAAGACGTTGCCGGGGCGCACGGCGTGGGAATGGCCGCGATTTGGATCAATCGGGCCGCGGCTCCGCTACAACAATCGTTACCGACCCCGGACGCTGAGATTCGCAATTTGCTGGAGCTGCCATCTGCCCTGGAGAATATCGGGAGGCGCTCAGCCACGGAGGAAACTCATGACCGAAATTAAACTGGATGACCGAGGACTGGTTCCGGCAATCGCCCAGGACATCAACACCGGGCGCGTATTGATGTTGGGCTACATGAACCCCGGGTCGTTGAAACGTACGTTAGAGGGAACGCAGGTCTGGTTCTACAGTCGCAGTCAGGAAGACCTGTGGCACAAGGGGGAGGTTTCGGGCAACTATCTGAACCTGCGCGAGTGGTACGTCGATTGCGACTCGGATACCATCCTGCTGAAAGTCGACCCCGACGGTCCGGCGTGCCATACCGGCGAGATATCGTGCTTTTACACCGAAATGGACGGATTGCCCGACGACTACGAAGCCTCCGACGGTGGCCCGCGGGTGCTGGAAGAACTGTTCGCGGTGATCAAGGATCGTCAGCGCGCGATGCCGGAGGGCAGTTACACCGCCAAATTACTGGCGGAAGGCACCAGCCGGGTCGCGCAGAAGGTCATCGAGGAAGCGGGGGAGACGGCATTGGCCGCAGCCACTAATGACACTGAAAACCCTGCCCGGGGAAATCGCGGACCTTTTGTATCATACCCTCACCTTGATGGCTTCGGCCGGGGTGTCGCCCAACGCCGTTTGGGAGGAATTGCGTTCCCGTCGGGGCTAGCCTCCAGCACCTGATGAGGTCAATCCGGCCACGGCATCCCCAGCAGAGTGGATGACCCAATCGCCGGCTCGATATGCGGTAACATGGCCCGCTCCCAGCACGGTGGTTCGTTGGGATTCTAGAAAGGCTCCGGTAGCGCCGTCGATGCCTAGAACGATCAAACCTGATTCGCCGATGGCTGAAACTTGATCCGAAACCACGCTGGGCGAGCTCCGTTCGTGGTGCGGGAGTACCATCACGCCGGGAACCAGGGACAGCGCCTCGATCCCCTGCGGTGAACCCGGTCGGCGCATGCGTTCACCCATCACCATCGCCCCGGCGCTGGACCCGGCCAGTAATACGCCCCGTTGACCGGCGACGATAACGGCATCAAGGCACGGGGAATCAGACAATACGGATAGCAAATGATCCGGGTTTCCACCGGTGAAATAGATGACGTCCGCGCCGGCAATGGTCAACAACGGCCGGGTCTTCGGCGCCGCTCCGGTCGGTTAGGTCTATGGCAAACGCATCTGCTCCCAGGCTGTTGAAGTGACGCACACCGTTGGCCGCGGCGCGCTGTGGGTTCTCGAACGCCGCTGCTGTTGGTATGATGGCAACGCGCGGGTTCGCGCCGCCGGCCAGGGCCAACAGTTGCCGATCCATCTCGATGCAGACAGTGCGAGAGAAATTCGTCGCCGCCGAAGCCACACGGACGCGAGTGGGCTGACGCGGGACACGTGTCGAGCTCGTTCGTCATATGAGAAGGTCCCGAGCCGGCCGGGTACTCATCGCCATACTGGAGGAAGAATGTTCGACTATATACACCATGTCCGCATCCTAGTCCACAACGCTGACGAGATGGCCCAATACATCGAGGACAACTTCGGGCTGACTCCGGAGAAGATTCAGGTTTACGAATCACGCGGCATGAAAAACGCTATTTACAAAGTTGGACAAACCAACGTCGAATTCACCGAACCCCTGGACCCGGATTCTGCAATGGGGCAGTACCTCTCAACCTTCGGACCGGGCCCGTACCACATGGCGTTTGGTGTGTCCGGGATCGAAGACAAAGCTCGCGAATTGGCCGGAAAAGGCAATGAAATGCGGGGGGACAATGGATTGTCCAGGAGCGCCGAGGGTTACATGACCGCGAACATTGACGCCAGCAGCGCCCTGGGGTTCCCATTCCAACTGGCCGAGGGATAGCCAACAGAACAGCAGGATATGACTGTAATCATGCTCAGAGCAAAGCAATCTGCCGGTTCTAAGGCCGGATTGGAGCAAAGGGAGGATAGCCATGTTCACTTCGATTCATCACATCCACTATGTGGTGCGCAACCGCGACGAAATGGTGGAATACATCAGGAACACCTTTGGTATGGAACCCGATGACCTGCACGTGGTTGAAGGGAGGGGAATGAAAGACGCTCTGTATCGCGTTGGCGAAACACTCATCGAGATTACCGAGCCCCTGGATGCAGACTCCGGCATCGGGCAGCACCTTGCAGACCACGGGCCGGGCGTTTATCACGTTGCCTTCGGGGTCGAAAACGTTCGTCAGGTGGCGGCTGATCTGGCGGCCAAGGGCAATCGGCTGCGGGGAAGAGGGCGGCGTCACGCAAAGCCCACGCGGTTACACCACCGCCAACATCGAACCCGAAGACAGCCTGGGGTTGTGGTTCCAATTAGCTGAGGGATAAAGACGTTTTTTCCGAGGCGATGTGCTAGTATGAAAACCTACTAATACGCTCAATCACAGTAGCCGGACGCACTGGAATGCTTGTAAAAGACACCATAGGGTTGGCGATCTCCGAAGCCCTGAAACGAGCCCACCAAGACGGAATCCTCAGCATTGACACTGTCCCGGACATCGAGGTCGATCGACCGAATAATCCGGACCACGGTGATTTTGCGACCAACCTTCCGTTGCGTCTGGCCAGGGCAGCACGCACCAATCCGCTGCAGTTGGCCGAGGCTATTGCAGAACGCGTGGAGGTCGGCCCCGAGATTGCCAGCGTGTCTCCGGCTGCTCCCGGGTTTATCAACTTCAAGCTGAGTGACGGATGGCTGCAGCGTCAGGTGGAGTTGGTACGCGAGGAGGGGAGCAACTTTGGGGCTACCGACATTGGCGGCGGCCAGAAGGTTATGGTCGAATTCGTCAGCGTCAACCCGACGGGTCCGGTCCACGTGGGTCACGCTCGCGGAGCGGTGCTGGGGAGCGCCCTGGCGAACGCCCTGGAAGCGGCGGGGTTTGCCGTAACTCGAGAGTATTACATCAATGATGCAGGGTCTCAGATGGAGGCGTTCTACCGCTCGGTTTGGGCCAGATACCAGCAGGCATTGGGCAGAGAAGCTGCGATGCCGGACAACGGGTATCAGGGTGATTACATCCACGACATCGCGGGCGAAATTATTGGAACGGAAGGTCCCCGGTTTCTGGAACTGAGCGAATTGGCGGCGATACGTGAGATCGGCGATCTGGCCCGCGAACAGATGGTAAGCGTAATACGGGATGATCTCGGCGCCATCGGCGTAACGTTCGACAACTGGTTCAGCGAACGCTGGCTGTATCAGCAAGGCGATTACGAAAACGCCATCGCAAAGTTGCGTGAAGGCGGCCACCTGGCTGAGCGCAGCGGCGCCCTGTGGTTTAATTCGACGGCTCTCGGTGATGACCGCGACAACGTGGTGGTGCGCTCATCGGGGGAACCCACGTATTTCGCATCCGACATTGCCTACCATTTCAACAAATTCGACGGCCGCGGCTTCCAACGGGTGATCGATATCTGGGGGGCCGACCACCAGGGACACGTGCCGCGGATGAAAGCCGCGGTGTCTGCTCTGGGCATGGAGCCCGAAAATCTAACCGTCCTGATTTCGCAAATGGTGACGCTGAGACGTGGGGACGAAACCGTGCGCGCATCCAAACGCACCGGGGATTTTGTAACCTTGCGGGACCTGGTAGATGAAGTAGGAGTGGACGCCTGCCGGTATTTCTTCCTGGCTCGCGCCGCTTCCACGCAGATGGAATTCGACCTGGAGCTGGCGACTCGCGAATCAGCTGAGAATCCGGTTTATTACGTACAGTATGCCCACGCCCGCAACGCCAGCATTCTCAAACTGGCGGCAGATCGCGCCATAGACTTTACTGAAGGCAACGTCGGTCTGCTGTGTGATCCACATGAGTTGCACTTGATCCGGACCATGTTGAGGCTGCCGGAGCTCGTGGTTCAGATCGCCGAAAATCTGGAGCCGCATCACTTGCCGCATTACGCAATGGAGTTGGCGACCGCGTTCCACCATTTTTACGAGAATTGTCGCGTGATTTCGGCCAATCCTGAAGACAATGAGACCACGTTGGCGCGCCTGAAACTGGTGGCTGCGGCCCAGGTGGTGTTTCACCGGACCCTGACCCTGATGGGAATGTCTGCGCCGGACCGAATGGATCGAACCCAGTAGTCTGGCGACAGGCCGGCGACCCACCGGGAATCGATGCTGAAATGATACCGCCGGGATTGTCTTATCGTGTTATGCGGTGTATAGTTCGATTCCTATGATCGTAGGAAACTTAACTTTGTTCCGGTTCGCCAAGCCCGGCATCGACAGATGCGATTCTCGTAAACCGGTTCGTCATCCAGAGCCGACATCGCCCCGGTTCTCGTTCCCTCGTGATGGAAAGGCCGCCCAGCAATGAACATCCTCTGGCGCATCATCGTTATGGCCAGCCGTTACCGGGCTCGGTTCTTCTGGGCGACATTAC